AGAGCTTAATCTTGAATATCGACTAGAATACCTTGGTCTTATGCCTGAACTATGGACTGTTTATGTTTATTATCTCCTTAAAGAAAGCAATCGATTCTCGTTAATTGGTATCAGAGCTTCAAGCCATATAGAAACTAAGTTATTATCTCTATAATTATATTAGGTAGAATTTGGTAGTCAAAAGACTTTTTCTTATGTATATGTTAAACACTAGATCTGATTCAATCTTTTAACCTTTAGATCTTCATTTCTTTACCTTCTACTCCATCTCCTGTACTTATAAAGTTATCTTCTTCTAAGTTAGATTTTCTTTATGAAATCAATTATATTCTAAAAAATTAAAAAAATCCAAGAAACATAACTTTTTCCTATAAATCTTTTTAATGTTTTTTCTAAAACTTTTTCTTCCTTAAATCTATAAAGACTCTTTTCAAACCAAAAAATCAAGCTTTAAAAGAATATGTTTAGCCTTCAAGTTTGATCAGTGTATTTTACCTTTAGGATCTCAAGAGCACTTTGTTACTATTCAAATTCCCTCAAGATTTTCAAAGTAGTGGATAGATCAATGATACATTCACATCCACTTTGGTGCTGTCAAGATAATGTTGAGCATTCATGGCCAAAATAGTATTCTTGCTTATACCGTAATAGCTTTGCTGGATACAACATTCAAAGGTTATAATATACAGTGCTTAGCATAGTTGAGATGACTCTGAATGCGAAAACTATTTTTTCACAGTATTTCTCAACTACAACATGTATCTACATGATCTAACTCTTTTAGATGATTTGATAGTTTCAAGTTCAAATTTTGGAACTGAAATGAAAGGAATCCAGGTAATTCTTCACTATCAGATGACATACAAAATCTAAGCTTATGCCATAAATCTCTTTTTGCTTAACTCTGGTGATGCAGTCTTTGTAAAGTTATAAGCTATTGACAAGAGACTCAGATGCATTTACATTCTAAAATAGATTTCAAATGATGAACTTGCTGTCCTACTTTTTAAGTCATGGACAATAAGTTATCAAAAGCTTTGGAAACATGATGAACCCATCCAACACTTTGATCCCTCTTATACCACAAACCTATCTGGTATTGTCACAATCAAATTTTATCACAACAAGTAAAAAGAGACTCCTACTCCAACTTCTATCTTTCTTATACAATTCATGATGCAACCATGTCAATAAGAATCAAATATAGCAGTTACACATTTCAAACGTAATGCATTACATGTATACACATACAAATCTCTAGAATTACATTGTTATTGGGATGTTGATTACAGTTGTAAAGGATGACAAAAAGACAAACGTAAAAGTTTATTTGATGATGATCAAAGAAAACTAAGACACAAATCCTTCCAACAAAAGCTGAAAGAAATATTTGAAAATGATGGCCCTAAAGTAGATATCATTGATGAACCATTGAAAAAGTTTGATTATTATATCATTTATCCCAAATACAAGAGGCCAGTTATCTCTTAGCCAAATTTCTTAAACCAAACACCTGAAAAGCCAAAACCTCAACCAAGAAAACCTTTACCTTGGTATGTGGTTAGTTTTACTTGCATTGTTATAGAAGAAGCAAAAAAAGCTAAGCTAAAGCACCAAGTTAATAAAGCAGAAGAGGCTAAAAAGAAACATCAGCCAATGAAAACTCAACTAGAGAATTGTCAACCTCTTTTTTAGATTTACATGATGTAGCCAACAAGATCTTTTTATTTTTATGATGCATAATTTCTTTCTCTCTAGGAATTCATAAAAAATCAATACAAACACACTCTAAAATCTCAAACCTTACTGATAGAGATGAATATGAAAATTAAAAAATAATCTCTCAAGTAAAAGTAGTATTGAATTAGAAAACAAAAAACTTTATTTTTTAGAATTCAGCTCTGTAAAAAATAGAAAACAAGTTAAAACAAGTGAGCCAACATTTTGACCAAAATTTCATCAATTTTTAGAATATTATTCTTGATATTCAAGCAAAAATGATTATTGTAGATCAAGAGCTTAAACAATTGGTTGAAAGCAAAAATGGTTACACTTAAGCTTTTGTTGAAAGAGAAATAAAGATGAAAAGTCTCAAGATTTAACTTGTAGATCTTCATAATCAACTATATCAAAAACTTTAACAACAACAAACTTTAAGTATTTTTGCTCCAGTTAACATTGAATGCATGATACTCCTTATCAAGCTTACACCCCATCTTTACCTCCAAAACCTTTCTTCACCCTAATACCAACCAAAACCAACCACACCAATACTAACGAAAACCAACCACACCAATATTCACACCTCTATCCGTAACTATAACTTCATACCCCCAGCCTAAACCATTCTTCACACCCCTTTCAGAACAACCATTTTATACTCTTCCCTTAGAACAACCTTATTTTAGCACTATTGAAAAATGGATACACAGATTTAGAGAAAAATAGGCAATGGAAAACAAACCCAAAAGAATTGTAAAACAATCACTTTCTCAACGCCCAAAGCCAAAAACAACCACCACCACAGTTGCTACTCTTTCTATTTCCACTCCTGACCAAACTCTTGAAAATATGTCCTATGCTTCATTTGAACTTCCTTCTTAACTCATGATTTCCTTGACACAGAATGTTCTTCCCAACATGTTCAAGTAGATGATGCAAGAAAATCTTTTTCAATTTTCAATAATAAATATCTTCATTTCTGCAGTCGAAATTAAAAGCATTACATGTGATATAACAAATTGACATAGAAATGGAATTAAAATACCCTTTACTTTGGCTAGTTAAATCCTTAAAGATTTTTTTTTTTTTTATGAATGAATCTTTCAAGAGTTAGATCGAATGCTATTACACCAATTTTTTTTATTTTGACATTATATTTCAATTTCATTGATTTTTGAAAAAAAATAATGTAATTGGCAGAAATTTATTGCTTGTTTGAGTGAAATGTTTTGTAAAATAGTTCAATATTTTTTTTTTCAAAAATTAATGAAATCAATAGTATAATGATAAAACTAATAAAAATGAAATTTACTATTAAATTATAATATATTAAAGAGGTTCATATCCTAACTTTTAATCTAACCATTTGTACAGAGGTAAAAGATTATCTATCAATAAAAATAGTATCTCTATTTTTATTCTCAATCACAATGGATTTTTAGTAGATCTTAACGCTATGTTTGGATAAATATTAATAAAAGAAAGGAAAAAAAATTTTTTAAAGGAAAAGAAAGGTTACATATAACCCTTGTTTGGATAATTAAAATTAATAAAGGAAATGAAAGGAAATGAATTTTAACAACCATTGTTTGGATAAATAGTAAAAAAGAAATGAAATTATTCATTATAATAATTTTTTTCAATTATAACATTTTATTACCTATGATTTTAGAGTACTCCTAGACTATGATATGTTTGTTATCTTATCTGACCTCACAATTGCTACTATATCAATGATTTTTAATCAAGTAAAACGAAAAAATATTTTATAAATATGCATTGATGAATTTTGAGCTAATCTGACATCTCATAAACCTAAAAAATATATCTATTTATATTCAATCATTCATCAAAATCAAGTTACCAAAAATTATAAAAAATTTTAATATTGGAAGATATATATGAAACTTACTTGAAAAAAGAGATAGTTTTGAAAAAAATTATAAAATGATTATGATCTGTTTAAGTTTTTTTATTAGATTTTTAGTATTAATTAAAACATGAACATAATAATCTTTTTATAAAATTTTTTTTTCAACTTTCATTTTCCTATCTTTTCCTCCAAATTAGGATATTACAAAAATTGGATTTACAAGGAAAATCTAAAGTTATTTGGTTTTCACCTCTTTTTCTTTCTTTAAATTAAATATTTATCCAAACAAAAGAAATAAAATTTTGTTTTTTTTACTTTACTTTCCTTTTGTTCTTCTCTCCTCAATCCAAACATACCGTAAGAGTTATTGAAACTTACTAATTATGAGTTTAAAACTCATGAACTCAGATTCTGACAGTTACCATTAAACCTTCAGATGATTTAACCACAACCACTAAATATTAACTTATAATAAATTGATAGAGTTTGTTTTAAACATTTCAGTGTTATAAATTTGATTTTTGGTTAATAAATATGATTTTAGTAAAAATCTTGTGATTATCATTAAAATATATTAAGATTTCACGAAAAGTCTCGCGAGATCATATAATAATTATTTGAGATAAATTATACACATTTATCATACTACTTTATAGTTGGTTCTAATATATTATTAATCTCAATATAAGATATATTTGACTAAGATTTTAAAAGTATTGTTCGGGTTTGCAATGATTTAATTTGACTTTTAAAAATATTTATTTATTTATTTATTGTAAATGATTTATTATTATTATTATGGCATATTTGTAATCTGCCTGACTGTAAATGAATTTACTCTCACAGTTAAAAGATGACAATAAGTTAGATTGAGATAATTTTTTACTCATCTTGAATCTGATTTAATTTGATTTTATTTTATATCCGAATTGACCCAACTTGATAATATATAAAATTATACTAAATTCGATCCAATCTAAAATTAATAAAATATTATTTTTAATGTAAATATAAATTTAAATAAATATGAATATATATAATTAAAAAATAATTTTTGTTATATATTAGGTCGACGTAGGTTTATCTACAATCCGATTCCGATCCCGATATTTTTCTACTATTATCCATCCCGATCCAAAACTTGATTAAAAAAAAAAAAATGACCTTAAAAATCGAAACCTACAAGGGCCGGATTGGGCTGCAGTCCCTATTTACAGCTGCCACAACAGTATAAATGAAAAAACATCTAATAATGGGTCCAGTCTTTCAAATCACAGCTCTTCATTCCATTAAAAATGATCATACTGCTAATAGGGATAGAATCAGCTCATGATGCTCCTTTCTAAAGCAATGAAAACCAAAGTAATATCAATCTAAATCACAATCAGCTTATGAATCTGCAAAATTTTTCACCCAAAAACCACACAATCAATTCAATCCAAAAGATAGAAGGCAGTGAAAGTGCATATTCAGTCACAGCAATAAATTATAAAGCATTAAAGTGACGGTATTGAAGTTCCGAAACAAACTAGGAAAAGTATAGAATCAAACCAGCTCTATCCTCCTAATGAAGCAATTCATTTGAACTCAACAAGGGCCACACTACCATAGCATTTAAGGAGACAACTCTAGCACGCATTCAAACTCAGGAGACAAGGTTGTCGTTTAATGACAACGAAGCCAGCTGATCAGCAGCACCAGCAGTCTGCTGCTGCTGAGCGACAGTCCTCAGAACCTCCATAGCTTCTGCAACCTTGGCTTTTAGAGCATCAGGTGACTCAAGCAAGTGTAAAACCTCAGTCTGATCCATCTCCAGAAGCATCCCTGTCACTTTAGCTGCTGCATCAGGCTCCAGCTGTTCAACAAGTGGATAGAGATTCTCCCCCAGCATCTACACATATTAACCCAATGTAAAAATTTCACTTAACCAGAATAGTAGTGTAAGTTATCCATTTTCAGAAACTTGCACTGAATCTTTTTAAAAAGGAATAATTACAAAAACACTACAGCAAGTTTTTAGTATCATTTAAATGTATGAAAGAAGGAAATTAAATGTTACTAGTAAAAATTCACATCTCAATAGGGGAACCCTATATTTTTTAAATATTAGAGTATCATACTCTTCAACGTAACTTTTAACTTTTGTAATTAACCCTTCTAAAATTGACTAAAATGTGGTACAAGTATAATCTAAACTTGAACAGCATAACTATACAGAACATAGAAATAACAAATAAATAAAGCAAAGCAGTGCATACTGTTCTCTGCTGATCTGAAGTAGCATTTGCAAGTGCTGACGCCAAGGCTCCTATTGGAATTGGCTGAGAAAGTGAAGTATCACGCATCGGCATGCCACCCATATCATATGGAACAGCAAGCATGCCTCCAGCAACATTAGCCATTGAAACATCAGGTAGACCACGCCCTGATGGATAGCGATAGACCCGCCCTCGTGGTAGCATCTGGTATTTAAATGAACCATCAGATGAAGTATTTACAGATATGAACATACTTATAAAAGATATTACAAAATCCAAGAAGTGATTAAACAAACCTGCTGCTGCATTAATGGAACCGGTTGCTGACTTTGCTGAATGGCCCCAGCCCTTCTGCCACCAGGACGCTGACCCTGCTGGCCTTGCTGAACCATTGGTACAAAGAAATTTGGCATGGGAGCCCCACCAGGCCTCATACCAGGGACAAGCTGCTGTTGATATCCAAATCCAGCCTGGTGGAAGATAAAAGGTCCATAAATTTCTAAAGCAGATTTACAAATACATTGATTACTTCAGAAAGTTAAAATATACTTCTATGACTAACGATGCCAAGAAATAAAATGCAAAATAAATAGTTACCTGAGGAGGAAAAATAGCAGGAGGTGTTTGACCATAGAATATTTGCTGCCCAAGACCTGGACCACCAGGTGGGTACATTGGCATACGAGGTGCAGGTGCCATTGCAACTGGTCGCATTTGAGAAAATTGAGCCTGTAAAAAGCCAATTACATGCTTTAGCATACCAAAGAATCAAAACCATCCTATTGCCCCAGGCTCAAAGCAAATATCAGGAGAACAAACCTGCAACCTAGCTCTCCTATCTTCCTTCCTTTGAGCTAGTGCCACATAGAGAGGTTTGCTTACAACCACTTTGCCATTCATCTCCACAAGCTGTCATAATAAGAAAAACTATTAGCTTATGATAAGATCATGAGAGTAAGGACAGCATTGTCATCTTACAGCTCTAGATGCTTCTTCTGGAGTTGAAAATGCAACAAACCCAGATCCTTTACTTATTCCATTAGGGTCTCGCATAACCTGTTAAATTAAATAATTGGCTTCAGTCAAACGATTACCAGAATCCATTGAACTTAACTATTCTAGAAAACATGCTAACAAACCTTGCATGATGTTATGGTACCATATTGAGAGAATAACTCTTTAAGTTTTTCATCGCTTATGCTATCGTCCAAATTCTTAACATACAAATTTGCACCATGGAATTTATCCGCTGCCTCTTTCATTGTCTGCTCAAATCGAAGTTTCAGTTCAACCTCCCTTTCAGATTTTTTTTGAGCTTTCCCAACATACCACTCCTTATCATAAAATTTCTTTCCATCGAGGGACTCAACAGCAATAGCTGCGTCATCTGCATTCTCAAAGTTTATAAACCCAAAGCACTTGGATTTCCCATCTGGTTCCCTCATCACCACAGCACTAGTGATTGGACCAAATTCACCAAAAATGTTCTTCAAATCTTCTTCACTTGTTGATTCTGAGAGATTCTTTACATAGACATTGTTAAATTTTGCCTTGCTAATAGAAGTGTCTCTTTCCTGCTTTCGAACAAAGGGGCCTACATACACTTGCTTATCATTCAGTAGCATACCATTCAACTTCTCTATTGCTTTTTGGGCAGCTTCCTCATTGTCAAATTGTACAAAGCCATAACCTTTTGAATGGCCAGAGGGGTCTGTGGCTACCTTGCAAGAGAGAATGTTTCCAAATGCAGAAAATGTATCATGCAAAGCTTTGTGGTCGATGCCATTATCTAAATTCTGCCAGATCCAACAAGAACAGAAAACAAACATAAAATAAACCATATGAGATTTGTGAAGCACAGATTTATAAAACAAAGCTGCATATGAAACCACATGATTGTCAAATTTTCATTGCCTTGATAAATATATTCCCAGAGCCACTTTTACGAAGACTAGGGTCGCGGTTGGAGTACATAATCCGGATAGGCTTTCCATTTAGAAGAGTGAAATTCAGAATGTCCAATGCCCTTGCAGCTGTAAGTAAACAGAAGAGGATGTCATGCAGAATAAAGGGCAAACATTTTTTTTTCTGGGGATCAATAGTGAAGGCAAAATATTAGTAAAGTTTTTTTCAAATAATATGTACTAATATGGAAAGCCACAGCTTGAGTTGGTCTCCAACTCCACCTTGCTGATAGAGACAAACTTGGTTGATGATTTACAAGGAAGCCTGAGAAGATAACATAGAAGCATTTGGAAGTAAGGATATACTGTGCATTGCTCTCTTTCCAATAGGCTACAATCTCACATTCTGCTGTTTTTATCTTTATAAACTTTCTTCATTTCTGTCTATTTCACAAGCACTTACAATATTACATTTCCTATTTTCTCTCTAGCTAATCATTCTCCCTTCACCCATAACAGGGTACCCAAAAAGGCCAAGTACATATCACCACATGGCTTCTATGGGTTGGTATGGGAAGATATGCCGAAACGGAAATAAACAGGAATGAAAAATCCGCATATAAATACTCACTTAATGCACCTCAACATTAAGTATATAGTTAATAGTTTACTAGGTATCAAAGAAGGCTCCATGAGGCAAAGTTCCTGGCTCCTTGATACACAGAAATTCAAGCCAAACTGACGTTTGCTATATTTTTCTAATAAAAAGTCGAGATTTCATCTAAAGCAGAAAATCAACAGTGAAAATTCATGTGAAAAACAAAGTTTACACGTCAGAGAACACAGTCAAAACTTACATCTTCATTTCCTGCCTAAATCAGCTTGATAATGTAATGTGCCCTTGAAAATTTTTACTGGAAAAAAGGTATCATCCATTTCAAATTGAAGCAACATAAACTTTTCTTTCCTTTCATAATTCATCCAAAGAAAATGCAAAAGTAAGTCTAAAACTTAAATCATTAGTCAAATTACATTTGTAAAACCATTCAAAATACCAATCAAAGCAACAATCCATTATTAAACAAGGCAAATAAAGGAAAGTAAAAATCAACAAATCTACACTAGACAGAATACTTAGCAAGGAAAACCAAAAAAACAAAAAAAAAAAAAAAAACCTAAATCTTATAAAACTGAAAACTAACCTTCCTGAGGGTTGTTATAGTTGACATAACCATAACCAAGAGACCTCCGGGTTGACAAATCCTTGCAAACACGAACCGTAACCACTTGACCCACCTGGTTAAAGTACTCATAAAGCTGTGTTTCCGTCACACTCAAATCTAAATCCCCAACATAAAGCGACGTCGTTACAAACTGGTTATTCCCCCCTCCAGCTCCATTGTTGATACTCACATTTTGCCCCTGAATTTGAACCTGTGCCATCTTTCTAAAACAACAACTAAAACGCACCCAAAAAAACCCTTTTTTTTTTTAAGTTTTCTCTTTTTTCTTTTTTTTTTGGGTTTTTCTTTCTTCCCTCTCCTCTTGTTATTAATCAACAAAACCTAGAGAGATAACTGATATTAACTAAAACCCAAGTGCTTTGATAAACCTTCCTAAAGAAGCAAACTTTTTTTTCTTTTGTACTTTTTCTTTTTTGGTTTTTTTAAAGGGAGGAGAGGGAAGGGAAAGAAAGGTAAATGGATATTTGCCGCTGGCTGAAGAGGAAAAGGAGGCGGCGCGTGAGAAGATGAGGTTGAGAATTGAGAGAAAGGAGACGTTTCGAAGGAGTAGCAGCAACCGCAAAGAGAGGAGGTTTTTTTCTGAAAAAACCCTAAGGTGGTTACTAGGACGAGATCTCCGCCGTTGGATTTGGTTTTGGGGAAATATTTGTGGGGCCCAAAATGACGGGGTAAAAGATAACAACGCCAACGATAGAGTTTGGAGGTGCATCACCTTCATTAAAAGGCGCGTGTGATGAGAAAGAATGGTAACTTGTCTTTCTGTCAAAATTTCAAATATATCTATACAATCTGTGCAATTTATACAATAAAACGAAAGTAATCCTTTTGAAAATGATGATAATTTTTTTAATTACGTAATAATTGAATGATAGGTATTTAAATGGATTGTAATGCTTTTTTTATAATCAATTAAAATTGTCTTTTATGATCAATTTTGAAAATTTTTTATCATAATTTATCAAAATTATTATAATATTTTTTATTATAATTATATAATTTTTTTTATTATTGATCAAAATTATTATAATATTCACATATCATAATTATAAAAATATCTCTTCTATTATATTAAAATTATTTTTTTATTTAAAAAAATAAGTTAAATGAGTGATGATATTAATAATCTTTGATTTCATTAGTAAAAAGATTTGATTGATATTTGATTAATGTTAGTAATAAATAAATATTGTATTGATACGTTAAATTGTCGTATATATATTTTGAATTTGACTTTAAATTATATAAATTTTTTTAAAATGATATCTTTTATTAAAAATAAAACCCAATACCTGTCTAATTGTGATTGAATGACACAATCATAATATCAAATTTTTTATTTTTTAGAATATTATATTTTTCAAAAATAAAAAACTAACAATTACGAAAAAAATTAATTTTTAATTTATTTATTAAATTAAAAATTTTAAATAATTTATATTTCATAAAAATAAAATAATTACAACTTAATCATAACCATATAATTTTTCTAGTATATATATAATTATAATGTTTGCTTACTATCGTAAACCAAACCAAGTCATTAGTGATACAAAGTAAAATACAAATTGGTTTGATAAATAAGGTAAATTTTATTTATTTTTTATTATTATATCATTAAAATTTTATAAAAAAATGCATAGATAAAATGTGCAAAGTTTTTTACACAATAGCAAATAACTTGTTATCATAATTACTAAGCACCTGGGTGTGATTTAGTTTATTTTTATTTTCTTATCTATTAATTAATGTTAAATATTTAAGAAGGCAGCCTATTTTTTCATATTTATTTTTACACAAAATCGGAGATCATAAAGATAAAATAATGAATTATAAATGTTAAAATTTAAAATTTATTTAAAATATTTTTATATTTAATTTGAATTAAAATAAATCCTATACTATTAATGTTATATGCATATATATACTTTTTTTTTGCGGTCGAAATTAAAAGCACCATATGTGATGTAACAATTTGACATAAAAATAACATTAAAATACCATTTACTTTGGCTAGATGAATCCTCAATGAGTTTTTTTTTTTTTTAATGAATGAATTTTCAAGAAGTTAGGTCGGGTGCTATTACACCAAAAAAAAATTATTTTATCGTTATATTTTAATTTCATTGATTTTTGAAAAAACTAATGTAACTGACATAAATTTATTACTTGTTTGAGTGAAATGTTTTGCAAAATAGTTCAAAAATAAATGACATCACTGATAAAACTAATAAAAATGAAACTTCTTAAATTATAATATATTGGAATAATGTGGCTGCAAGCTAAAGCTAAGTGGTCCAATCTTTTGGTAGCCTTTTTTCCCTTTGGGATTGGGCCATTTTCCTTGAGAGTGACAGACCAATCATCGGTTTCCCTCCTTTTCTGAATTGTGGTTTGCCACATCCACTGGTTAGGAATGAAAGTCGGAAATAAAAAAGAATAAAATATAAGTATATTTATTTTGATGTAAAACTCAACTTGAACTGTTCCATTATATGCTCCAATCATTTTTATATAAATGTGAAAAACATGTGGTTTGTGATAATTTGACAATAATAGGATATATGAAACAAAAATGGAAAGGTAACATAATTAAAGTTCTATTAAAAAATTTTGACAATGTATGCATTGCAAAGGTTAAAATATAAAAAAAATAAATATTGTATTTTTTAAATAAATTTTTATATTTGTATTATAATCAAATAATTGTTTATTTTAAATAAAAATTTAATTTATATTCAATATTTATTTAAATATAAACTAAAAAATAAAAATTTATTTAGATTCTAATTAAAAGTTAAGAATTTATTTTAATGTAAAAAATATAATGATTTGTTTAAATAAAATGAAAAATTCAAAGATTATTTTTTATTATTTTTTATTTAAAACTCGTAATCATTTAAGCTTCGATTAATTTAAAATTAAATTAAATTAAATTTTATAAAAGATAATTTTTTTAAGTTTATTTTTTTATTTATATAATTTGAAATCGAAATTTTATTTTTAAAAATTAAACTTTTTAACATTCAAATTAACAGATTGATTATTTTTATTATTTTAAGCTATTGTAAAAGCATTCATATCGAATTCCATAATTATTTTTCAAATAAAAAGAGAAAGACAAGAAAAATATTAATAAGAAAAATATCGTTATTTTATGATTTTGTTCTGACATCATTTTCGGTTTGGACGGTTTCTATTGGAAGGGCGTCTTGCAGAATTTGCATTGGAGTAATCACTGTGTTTGAACTTTGACATGGCAAATTCAACGGCCCAAAAGAGTTGAAAATTCATTAATTCGAAGGGGAGCCAATTTTGACCACGTGATAGCGAGCCCAGTTGTTCCCCAATTAATCATACAATCAAACAAAAATTACACCAATCATTCACGAAAATAATAAATTTTATTTAAGCCAATAGATTTTGCATTTATCAGTTGAGATTAATAGCAGTCCGTTTCCAGAAGCAACTAACTGACGAACATCTAAAAATTGTTAAGACTTTCTAGCATGTAATTGTCAATTTGGCATTCAAGTCCAAAGTCCAAAGCCACCCATAGAAGCAAAATTTGCTTCAATTTTCTTTTTTTTTTTTTTACAAATAAATCCTTAAAGAAAAAATAAAACTCCTCATATATAAAAATAAATCCTAAATATCAAAATTTTCTGTACACCTTTAATATTTTTCTGTCAAATTTTTAGACAAAATTTTAGTTACTGTTACTTAAATGCTATTGCCATTGGTCATAAAAGCCAAAACGTGTTTATTTTATCTTTTTTTTAATTAATTGAGAAAAAGAAAGTTAACAACCTGTTGAATTTATGGCAAAAAGAAAAAAAAAATGGTGAATTAAAGATGTTTCACAATTTTCTTGTAGCTCAAAATCTGTAAAGATCGGGAGGAGTCCAGACAAAAAAGCATAATTGGCGCGTTGGTTGAGGAATTGAATAACAGGGAAAAGTCGTACCGTCCATTTACTTTTCTCTCTCCCCTAGAAAAACACACTTTCCTTTCCTTTTTGAGCGGAACAAGTAACAACTGATAATCCCATCACCTGATTCTTCTTCTTCACTCTCAACTTTTCAGTTTTCCCATATTTATTATTCAACACCCAAAACTTCCTTTTTTCTTTTTCTTTCTCTTAATTCAACAAACTTGTGATATTGTAACACGATCTTGTTCTTGTTCTGTCACTGGAAATTTTTTAACATGGGCTCTATTTCTTTTGCCAATTATCAAACCCTGAGGCTATTCCCTTCTTTCAACTCTTTTCTTCATTCTAAGCAGCCCTGCATTGTCGCCTTGTACCATCATTCCCATAAAGTAGAACCTTCTTTGTCTATTATAAAAAGAAGTTCTTTTCGCCGTGCTGCCGGACTCATCGCCAACTCTGTTCCCGTAATCCTCTTTTTTATTTTCTTGTTCTTTTTGAGTTTTTTTTTTTGGTTAAAAAGATTGTTTTATACATGGGTTTTTATGTTTCGTGTTGTTTTTTTTTAGTCAAGAAACGGAAATTATATGGTGGGTGATTTTATGACCAGAAAACAGGATTTACATGTTGTCAAAACTATAACAAGTGTGGATGAAGGTATTACTGATACTTGATAACCCTAGTTATTTACCATTTTTATGTTATTATTATTATTTTTTATTATTATTTTCACTTTTAATTTTTTACTTAATTATGTAATTGCAGCATTGGAGGCACTTGTGGAGAAGAGAGTTACTGGTTTCCCTGTGATTGATGATAACTGGAAATTGGTAACATTTGAAGTAGTTTTACTGTTTCTTCATTTATAATTTTTAGTCTCGTTAAGAAATGTTGTCTGATCCCGTGTTTAACCTGAGATATGGGCTAAGATCTGGTTTCTTTTCTTTATCTGAGGAGCATTTATGTCTGTTGGAGACATTGGTTTGACAGAGAGAGAATTATGACATTCTGACATATGGTTTGTTATTGATGTATGAATGCATAAAGTTGCTATTTTTTTTACTGGAGTTGGGAAATGCTCAGTTCTTAATGATCATGTTCTCTTTGGATATCTCTTTGTTTCTTGGAGAAGAAGATTGTTTTCCAGTCTAAAAATGGTCTATGAATGAGAATTTTGAGCTACCATCTTGTTCATCGAATTAAGACTGACTTGTTTTTGTTATTGCAGGTTGGCGTTGTTTCGGATTATGATTTGTTGGCACTTGACTCTATTTCAGGTAGTTTATATGATGATTATGGAACTGCATTTGAACTTCGTGGGTTGATTTGGTGTTTCTCCTTACTATTTGTTTGAGTTTCTTTAAGGACGAAAAGGTATCAATTTGAAATATTGAAGGAAGCAATTGTTAACGTCCTAACATTTCATTAGTGCCAGAAGAGTATTAATTCCTAAATTGGCCTTTTCTCCTTTCCGTTTGCTAGTGGATTGTTAAATTTATGAATTGGGATAAATTTCTAACCTCTTTTTAAAACAGCTTGCCCTCGCTGTTATAGAAGATTGTCATTAAAATTATATTGAAAAGTTAGTGATTGATATTCTGATATATGCACAAAGAGTGTAAAGTCACTATTATTCACGGACTCCATTTTACCTATAAACTTTGCTTCCTTGACTATGTAAAATAACATTAGTTGCTTTGTAACTAGTTATTACAAGGCTCAGTTGGTGTGGTGTTTCTATCCTGCATATTTATAATGTGTTGAGATCTGTGTGCCTTAGAAATGGAATGAGAGGTGAATGCTACACCTACTTCAGAGTTCGGATGAATTTTTTCTGCCTATTAGTTCTCCTAGTTTATATGATCTAGTATCCATATGGAAGCTGGATGATATATAATGATTTTTTTAGTTTTTATTTTGAAATTGTGTTAGATATTTCCTTTTATGTTATTGGTTTCCTTTTGTTGCTCATTATTGATTAACTGGCAATGTAGTTTTGCCACCTTGGTTTTAAATTTGGTTTCTCTTGTAATTGTTCTGAAATGGCTACTGATTTGTTCATTTTATGACTATCAGGTAGCAGTCAAAATGACACAACCATGTTTCCTAATGTTGATAGTTCTTGGAAAGTACGTAAGCATTCTGCTTTCTGATTCTTTGATTGTTGGGGTTCGATTGAAATTTTTGTGTAATCTCTAGAAGCATTATTTAAGTGCTAATAAGCACTGGCTGCTAAATGCCGTTACATTTCAGAAATTCCAATGTTGCTGCTGTGACCCTGATAATATTTATTACTTAACAACATATGGTGCCTGCCCCCGGGCATGTTCACATTATCCATTGCTCTGCCTTTTGTTTTTTGTTTTTCATTTTTCTCTCTCTTCTTTTTATATCTAATGCCTGCTTTCAGGCAAAAGAGTTCTGTAATTATTAATTGTGTGGTATAACTTTTGCTTGTTCTAATTCTGGGTAATCATGGCAGACATTCAACGAAATACAGAAATTGATCAGCAAAAATAATGGAAAAGTTGTTGGGGACTTGATGACACCTTCACCTCTTGTTGTTCGTGAAACAACAAACCTGGAAGATGCTGCTAGGTATCTTATTTTACCCTTTTGAATGCATTTGCTTTGTTATGTGGATGTTCTAACTCCAATGTTTTTATATCAGGTTATTGCTTGAAACTAAGTATCGTCGACTACCAGTTGTTGATAGTGATGGCAAGCTGGTAAGAATTTTTATAGTGCTTTCCACGTTTTTGTAAATATATAGTCTTTATTACAATTTGCTTCTAGGATATGTATTAGCTATGGATGATTTTTTGATTGATTTCTATTTAAATCTAAAAGGTTGGAATCATTACAAGGGGAAATGTTGTTAGAGCTGCCCTGCGGATAAAACGTGCTAGTGAAAGGTTACCATGATGCCTAGATCTGCAGTAGATCATAATCTTGGTGTCAAATTGATGGCTCAGTTTGTTTTTCAATATACCGATCATGCAAGTATTCTTCTCCCTTTCGGTCATTGGCCACGTACAACTTCCACGGCAAAATGAGAATTTTAATCCTGTCTAGGGTTCAACCTCTAGTTTTTAGTTTAACTTTTATACATATAGGCCTGTTAAACTAGGGCAACATTAGCTAGGATCAGATATGCCTTTGCAATAGTCATAAACCAAAAGTTTTGTATCTGAATATTTATGTTTACTGTCATTTTTATTTAATTGTTAAAAAGTATATACATGTAAGCTTGCATCACTATGAATATCATTGATTTGATATATTGAAGTATCTCATTTAGCAATGTTGCTGGTAAAAATTTCCTTCTGATGCTAAATTTATCTTTTTTGTGTATGTTTTAATTTATCTATTCCACAAATGATAGATCTAAGATTAACAAATTTTCCTCCTATGTCAGCACTGGTCAAAGTTGTTCTATCAATGTTAATAATGCTTTTAGTGGGAGCTGGAAAAGCACAGCTCCAATGTTTTTGGCTCCTAATCTAGTTCCACAATCGATTTAAGTTCGGAGAACAATTTTTAACACTTGAATGCATGCTAAAGGCAGGGGAAAACAGGGGAAATTTCAGGCTCTCATGCATTTTCAATGGGATAATCGACAATTTTTTCTTTTTCTAGGGGATAATCTACACCCTTGTCGACATTTTTTTAACATTCCAACTCTCTTTCTGTTGCCTTCTGTCATTGTTGGACAGGTTGGGTGTTCCACGGACAACATTTAAGAAGCTTAAGTTTCAGTATAAAGCAATTTCTTTCAGAAAAATAAGAACAGTGGATTGGAACTTTGAACCTGATACATGGAGCTTGAATGGATAAGATGGATGTCACGCTGGATGACATCCCTCCATACGTAAGCCATTTCGTTATTATCCTAAAATGCTATTCTTTGCTACCCCATAATAATGAAACGGAGAAAGTAGTGATATTTAGTCAAATGTGAGAGTTTGAAAACCCAAGAGTCTATGGCTTCTGGGCCATGTGAACCATATAAGACTCTAGTCTGCTTTTCTCAGTTCTTATTAACTTTAACCAGATTCTTCTGGGACTAAAAGCGAACTGCCTATCTCATTGTCTTTGAATCCATGGACTCAAAATCACATCCAGTAGAAATGTTTTTCTTCCCTTACGTAGGAGGAGGCCATCAAATCCCCATGATAGACTTAGCCAGGATGTTTGCAGCCCATGGTGCCAAATCCACCATCATCTCCACCGCTAAGCATACGCTCTCCTTTCAAAAATCCATTCTCCGCGACCAGCAGTCTGGTCACCAAATCTTCATCCAAACCCTCCAGTTACCAGATAACGTTGACATAGCTGACACCGACATGTCGGCTCCTCCTCAGACAGACACGTCCATGCTCCAAGAACCTCTGAAGAGCTTGCTACTTCAATGCCAACCAGATTGCATTGTTCACGATGTGTTCCATCGTTGGGCTGCAGATGCTATTGACAATCTTGAGTTGGATATCCCAAGAATTGTGTTCACTGGAAACGGTTGCTTTTCTAATTGCGCTCGAGAAAATATAACCAAGTTTAAGCCTGATGAGATGGTGGGTTCGGATTATGAGCCTTTTGTTGTACCCGGTCTTCCTGATCGGATTGAACTGACTCGATCTCAGCTTCCAGTATTTCGAGTTATACAGCAGCATATGCGAAAATCACAAGAGAAATGTTTCGGGGTTGTGGTTAATAGTTTCTATGAATTGGAGCCAGCTTATGTAGAATATTTCAAGAAAGAATTGGGGAATAAGGCGTGGCTTATAGGGCCAGTATCATTATACAACAGAAATATTGCTGATAAAGCTGAAAGAGGTAAAAAGGGCTCAATTGATGAACAAAGCATTCTCAGCTGGCTTGATTCTAAAGAACCCCATTCAGTTCTTTACATTAGCTTTGGAAGCTTAGCTCGTTTAGCTCCAGAACAGCTCCTGGAGATTGCATATGGTCTCCTGGCTTCCAACCAACCATTCATCTGGGTTGTTGGAAAAGTCTTCAAAGCTAATGGGAAAGAGAAATTAGAAAATTGGCTTCCACGTGGGTTTGAAGAAGAGATGACAGAATCCAGAAAGGGACTAATAATCCGTGGATGGGCACCGCAATTGTTGATTTTAGAACATTCCTCGGTGGGAGGTTTCATGACACATTGTGGATGGAATTCTACTTTAGAGGGTGTAAGTTGCGGTGTGCCAATGATCACATGGCCAATGTCAGCAGAGCAATTTTATAATGAGAAACTGATAACTGATGTCCTGAAGATTGGATTCAAAGTGGGGAGTTTGGATTGGCTCTCATGGAACATGGAACCGCGAGCAGCAGTTGGAAGAGACAAGGTGGAGGAAGCAGTGAAGAGGCTGATGGGTGGCGGGGAAGAGGCTGTAGAGAAGAGAAATAAAGCAAGACAAATTGGAGAAATGGCTAAGAGAGCTGTTGAAGGGGGATCATCGTATAAAGATGCTATTGCTTTAATTAAGGAGCTGAAGGATCGCCAGAAAACCAACCCTTAATGGGAATGGGATTAGGATTGTGGTTGTGTCTAAATCCATGCCAAGAAAATCTAAAATTAATTATACGCTCTTTTCTTGATGGCATGAAGGTAAGAAACAAGCAAATATGATATTAATCTTTCCCTAATCTCTATTACAACAAAGTAAAATTTGGTCTTCGAATCATTGAGGATCAAATGTACTTGAATGTTGCGAAGATCGTTACGTTTAAGAGAAATCATTTAGCAAATATATATATATATATATATATGTATGTATGTATGTATAAGTGGAAGCAAGTAATCTATCAAACTAGAGAATATAAATAAAAATAAGATATTCAAGCAATAAAATTTTGAGGCTGGGTTAGATTATTTTTTTATCCTTTCCTGTTCCTTTTTCTTCCTTTGGTGAATCAATGATAGAAATATATAAAGGAAACTTAAAAATTGAGAGAGTGATGAGTTATGAAAAATGGATTGGAGTGAGAACAGATGTAACTGTGGTGAGCATGCAGATCAAAGCCTCTTCGCAGCCTTTTTGGAATACATGAATAGCAGAGTATATACATAGGCGTTATGGAGTGCAGCATTCCAAGTCTACGACAGAGTGGCTGATGTTTACATTCCAAGCACTGAAATTGATACGCAATATCTTCAAGATGCTGTAGGATTTTCGATATGATTCCCTCTAGAAACTAGAATTAATTAGTATACATAACTCGTCAGGTAAAACCCAAAATCAAATTCATTATCAAAGTATTTGTCGTATATAATCTCTCTATTTGGTCCAGAAATTATAAGAAATTATATCTCATATCCTAAATTTTTAAATTTTTTATTTGTCACTAAATCAAAGTTTCTAAACAGAATATTAGTGAATTGTAGTAACTTATTCAAATCCAATTAGGACATCTCGTAAAATTTCATCTTTTAGAAAAATAATCCTACTGATTTCTTCATATGAAATAGTTTGATGTCTTTGATCTAATCTATGCACAAGAAGTCTGTCAATATCCAAATCATAATTAGATTTTACTCTCATGCATAACTAAATTTCTTTCGAAATTGAAATTCGAAACAAATACAAAACTCATTTCACCCAAAGAAAATTCATACCTAAACACTCAAAAGAAAATCAAAATTGAATAAAATTAAAACAACTTCAACAAGAAAACATAACAATAAAGTTAATCCATCAAGAACTCATGTGCCTTCATGTAAATAAGATGAGTTTGTGAGTTTTGAAAGATGAAGTCACGGAGAATTAAGATAAAAAAACAAAGAGAAAGGGAAAAGAACATAAAAAAGGAAAAAAAAAAAAGGAGAATTTGATTGGAGAGACATAAAATAAAGCGTGAGAGAGCAAATGAGACTCCAGACAAAACAATGAACTTGATTGAAATAATTTTGTTAATACCCTTTTATCTTTTGGTCAGAATGATTAGAAATTTGATTTTTTAAAATAAAATTTTGATTTTAAATTTTGTGAATAAAAAAATAAATATTAAAAAAATTATTTTTTATAAAATTCGATGATTTAATTTTAAAATAATTAAAATTTAAAATGATTATTGAGTATTGAAAAATATCGTAAAAAAACGATTTTAAAAAGAAAACTTGAAAGAGATACGAATTGTAGAAAAAAATATAATAAAATTTAAAATTAACCTATTTAAGAAATTAAGTTTAAACATTACTTTGATATAGGAAAAAAGCTCCAATTTTCTTGCTCAACTTTATTACTTTTGTCCTTTTGTTTGACCGTCTTTTATGGTTATGACGTAAGAGATTATGTATGCGCTAGACAAAGACAATGTGTTGCATCCCAATCTGTCCAGTTCAGCTTGACCTTTTGCTTTTCTCCCAACTCCCAACCATTTGTCGCCAACCTCTTTGAGAATTATATCAAAACTATAAACTAGCCTTGCAATTAATTTATTACATCTATATATATATATATGGTCACCAATTTAGTATCAGCGGAATCATCATCAATTTCAAACAAACCTGCAGAAAAATTTCCGGCTTCGTCACTTATCAGTATAACTTCTTCCAGGGAATATGGGAAGTCAAATTCGTCAACTTCATATGTTCTTCTTTCCATTCATGGCTCCTGGCCACATGATACCAACAGTAGACATGGCAAAGCTGTTTGCAAGTGGAGGAGTGAAGACAACTATAATCACCACTCCGCTCAATGCATCTTTCTTCTCCAAGACAATCCAGAGAAGCAAGGAATCTGGAATCGAAATCGGTGTCAGGACTCTAAAGTTTCCTACTGTTGAGGCTGGATTACCTGAAGGGTGTGAAAACTTAGACTTGATCCATACTTCCCAAGAGGGAAATGGGAATTTGTTCAGCAAATTCTTCAAGGCCACAGTCTTGCTTCAAGAACCGCTTGAACAGCTGCTACAAGAATGCAAACCAGATTGCTTGGTTGCTGATACGTTCTTTCCTTGGACCACTGATGCAGCAAATAAATTTGGGATTCCGAGGCTGGTGTTTCATGGAACTAGTTTCTTCTCATTGTGTGCAACGGAGTGCATAACTAAAAACGAGCCGCACAAGAAAGTTCAGTCTGATTCCGAGCCTTTTGTGGTGCCTAACCTCCCGGGGGATATCAAGTTGACAAGAAAGCAGCTGCCAGATTTTATGAAACAAGATGTTGAAGCTGACTTTAGCAAGATGATCAAAGCCGTGAAGGAATCAGAACTAAAAAGCTACGGCGTAGTTGTCAACAGTTTCTACGAGCTCGAGGAGACGTATGTTAATTGCTACAAGAATGTTTTGGGAAGAAAGGCATGGCATATCGGCCCTGTTTCGCTGTGCAATAGGGCGACTGAAGATAAAGCAGAAAGGGGAAAGAAATCTGCAATTGATGAACACGAGTGTTTGATGTGGCTTGACTCAAAAAAACCCAATTCAGTTGTTTACATATGTTTTGGAAGTGTGGCCAACTTCACCTCTTCTCAATTAAAGGAAATTGCCATGGCGCTTGAAGCATCAGAGCAGCAGTTTATTTGGGTTGTGAGGAGACAAAAAAACAATGAGGAAGAGGAGCATTGGCTGCCTGAAGGATTTGAGAAGAGAATGGAAGGCAAGGGACTTATAATAAGAGGATGGGCACCTCAAGTTTTGATTCTTGATCATGATGCAGTCGGAGGATTTGTGACTCATTGCGGATGGAATTCAATCTTAGAAGGCGTATCTGCTGGTGTGCCTATGGTCACCTGGCCACTGTTCGCGGAGCAGTTTTTCAACGAAAAATTGGTGACTCAAGTCCTGAAGGTTGGCGTGGCCGTAGGTGTTCAACAATGGGTGAGAATGGTGGGAGATTTTGTGCAGAGAGAAGCCATAGAAAGAGCTGTGAAGGAGATCATGAAGGGTGATAAAGCAGAAGAAACGAGAAACAGAGCCAAGGCACTGGCAGAAGCAGCAAAAAAGGCTGTTGAAAATGCAGGGTCATCTCACTCTGATTTGAATGATCTGATGGAAGAACTGAGTTTGCGTCGTCATTAAAATCAACAGCCAGAAAGAACAGTCATATTTCATGTTGTTAATGTCTTTTGAACGAAAAATTAAACGTTTGTCAAATTCATCAATGAAGAGTAGAAGAAAAGGATTATGTCTGATGTTTAATTTAATTGAGCAAGTAGTAATTCATGAAAAACTAGCAGAATCTTTGCCTCTAATATATTGTTTAACCACTCAAACCAAGATTACGTTCAAAAGAATTGATAAACATAAGATTTCAGAGGGTAAATCCATGAATCTAAACCAGTTCTTTCTCATTTCTGCATCAAGGAAGTGACAAATTATACGCTACTGATCTTAGTACTTCAATTGTTTTTCTTCTTTTCCTTGGCAGGGAGTGCTATACCCATATATAATTAAATCCATTGGAGTAATATTAGTTTAACATATTTTTTTTTATACCAAAATCAATGGTCTAGGCTTCGTCTACATGATAAATAAAATTTAATTTCAAAATCAAGTGACAGTACTACGAAAATTCTTTTCAAACCACGTGTTACTGATTTTTTTTTAAAGTGAACATGCTACTAGTGTTGACTGGAAAAAAATACACATGTTTCTAAGGTTTTCTTTTCTGAAAATGAACGGGTTAGGGAAATATTTTCTTATTGCTATGAATTTTGTAATGTCATTTTTTTTTTCAAAAGTATGACAATAAGATAACTGGCCAAAGAAAAAAAAAAGAAAATAAGATACATTAGCAACAATTCTGTCATTATAGGATCCATGGTCAAGGAGTTTACCTAAAATCAATCATGGTACTAATGCAAAATTCCTCCGAAAAAATGAAAAAGATTTACTTAGTAAAAACTGCTTAGATATTTTCTTGATCGGCCTTCTGTTGACCTTCTCCAATTCCCAGGTTCTAGGATTTTTATTAATTTCTTTGACCTAGCTGTTCTTTGCTTGCGATGCCATTGTTTACTTCCATATTGCAATTCAATTTGACAAATATTTATTGGCGGTTGAATCTCTCTATTAATAGCCTGTTTTTATCCCCCAAAGTAAGTCAACAGCCTGTCTTTATCTTAGTACGAATGTACAATGTATTTATCTTAACAAACTAACTAGTTGCTAGTGCTGATCCAGTAAAAAATCTGAATATGTTTTTGATTGATATAGTTTCTGATTACGTTTAGTAGAAACACGAGATTCATGTTCACAATAATCCCTAAATATGGTAGTAATCAGAAAATTCTTTGAATTTCCAGTTTCCGCAGAGCAGTGTTACAATGAAAGGTTAGTGACTCAAATGTTGAAGATTGCAGTTGGTGTTCAGCAATGGATGAAAACGGTGGGCGATTTGTGACGAGAGAAGCAAAGGAGAAGGCAGTCAAGAAGATAATGAAGGGTGAAAAAGCCAAGGCATTAAGAAACGGAACCGAAGCTTTGGCAAAAAGGCTGTAGCAAAGGGAGGCTTATCTTACTCTGACTTGAATGCTCTCATCGAGGAACTGAATTGGCGTCGCCATATAACCATTGCGCAAAATGAAATCATATGGCATATTTTGGGGATCAAGAATTGGCGTCGCCATATAACCATTGCGCAATACGAAGATGCAGGAATTCGGGGATCAATATTGATATTAAGGCCCTGAAGTTTCCATGTATTGAAGTTGGGTTGCCAGAGGGATGTGAAAACCTAGACTTTATCACTATCCCTCAAGAAGAAGATACAGAAACGGTCGTCAAATTTTGCATGGGCGCAGCCGTGCTTCAAGAACCCCTCGCACATCTGCTAAAAGTATTGAAACCAGATTGCCTAGTCGCTGATATATTCCTTGATTGGGCTTTTGATGCCGCTGACAAATTTGGAATTTCTTAGGTTAGTGTTTCATGGGATTAGTTTCTTTTCCCTATGCGGATTAGAATGCTTGAGGCTATATGAGCCAAAAAAAAAGGTTGAGTCAGACACTGAACCCTTTGTGGTGGCTAACCTTCCTGGTGACATCAAGTTGACAAGAAAGGATCTACCAGGTTTTTTGGATCAAAAGATTGTATAAGTCTTTACCAAGTTGCTAATAGACTGCAAAGCATCAGAGCTGAAAAGCTATGGAGTTGTTGTCAACAGTTTTTATGAGCTCGAGGCGCCGTATGCTGATTATTTCAGGAATGTTTTGGGCAGGAAGGCATGGCATATAGGTCCTGTTTCGCTGTGTAATCGGGGCACTGAAGAAAAAGCAGAGGGAGGAAATAAACCGTCCATAGACGAACAGGAGTGTTTAAAATGGCTTGATTCCAACAAACCCCATTCAATTGTTTACGTAAGTTTTGGAAGTATGGCAAACTTCACTGCTGCTCAGCTAATAGAGATCGCATTGGGACTTGAAGCATCAGGGCAGCATTTCATCTGGGTTCTCAGGAAAGAGAAAAAGGACGAATGGTTGCCTGCCGGCTTTGAAGTTAGAATGGAAGGCAAGGGTCTGAGAATAAAAGGACGGGCACCACACTTGTTGATTCTTGATCATGAAGCTGTTGAAGGATTTTGTTAGGCAAAAAGCTTTGATCCAATAAAGCTAGCAGAAGCAAAATCAAACGATCAATGAAATATATAAGAGATAATAATTTAATATGATTTGATTCAATCGACTTATGTTCACGGATGAAAAATAAGATTCACTAGTTATAGAGAATTACAAACATACAAATCATATCAACCACTTAACAATCAATACCTACAGACCTTATCAATCTCCTCTAATCTCATAAAATATTCTCAATCTAAACAAACGCATGCCTATATACATCCTTTCAATACAAACAAATATATACTTATATACACAGATGCATCATATCTATGTAGACTCTCTCAGTCTATTCCAGTTCACTCCCATGCACCATATAAATATACATACCCATAAAACATAAATCTTCAGTAATTTTACGAGTGTCTATTACATAAAATCTTACAATTTTTTTACATTTTTTTCTCATACCTAATCTTATAATAACTTCACCTGTTTATAAACATATAAATTTAACTATTAAAAATCCATTTCCTTTTATAATTCTTCTTTTATAAGTTAAACTTGCCTTTTAAGAATTTTTTTTTTATAATTTTTTTTTATAAGTTTTTTTGTTCATCAAATAATATCTAACAAATCTCAAACAAATTTGTTATGAGATTTGAGTTATTATTTTTAACAATCTCTACCTTGACTTAAATTTTATCAAACATCTGTCTTTATATTAGATATGTTTAGCTCCACTTATAATGGAAGTCTCACAATCATATTCTCATGTGTGCTTTCACGTTTTACGTAAATCGATCTATCAAAGTATGAACTCAATTCCTTTCTTGAATCGAGCTCATCTAGGCTTGCCTCTTCTTCCCATGGCTCAAACCATCAACTTTTCTCATGTTTTGAACCTTCAGCCTGATACCACTTGTTAGGCTAAAAATCCCAATCTAATTCACATCAGTGGAAGCATAATCCAACAATGAATCAAACATACAAGAAATAACAATTTAACATGATTCGATCCAATTGACCTATATTTATGAATAAGAGATAAAATCCACTAGTTGTAGAGAATTACAAACATACAAATCATATCAATCACTCAACAATCAATACCCACAAGTCTTCTCAATTTCTTTTAGTCTTATGAAGTATTCTCAAACCAAACAAACACATTGCATGTGTATCTTTTCAATACAAACAAACACATACCCATATATACTCATATATACTCATACATCATAGACACTCTCAATCTTTTCTAGTCCACTCCCATGCACCATACAAAATACATACCCATAAGACGTAAATATCTAGTGGTCTTATGTAAATCTCTAGTGGTCTTATGAGGTATCTAACTCATAAAACTCTACAACTCTCTTACATTTTTTTCTTATACTTAAACTTATAAAAATTTCACATATTTATAATCATACAAACTTATCTATTAAAAATCAATTTTCTCTTAGATTTTTCTTTTGCAAATCAAACTTACCTTTTAAGAATTCTTTTCTTTTAGAATTTTTTTTTTACAAATCTTCTTATCTATCAAGTAATATCTAATTAATCACAAATAAATTTATTATGAGATTTGAATCATTATTCCTATCAGATTTATTACTCATTGCGGATGGAATTCTACTTTCGAAGCTGTAACTGCTGGTGTGCCTATGGTCACATGGCCATTGTCTGCAGAGCAGTTTTTCACTGAAAAGTTTGTGGCTGATATTCTGAAGATTGGGATTGTTGTTGGTATTCAACAATCGGCCAAACTGTTGGGAGATTTGGTGAAAAGAGAAACAATACGGAAGGCACTGGAGGAGATAATGGTGGGTGAGAGAGCGGAAGAAATGAGAAAGAACGCCAAGGAACTAGTGGAAATGGCAAAAAGGGCAGTTGAAAAGGTTGGTTCTTCTTACAATGATTTAGATGCTCTGATTGCAGAACTAAGCTTGCGTCGACACTCGCCATTGAATTAAGAGGAAGAAAAGAAATCATAATGCTGTCATTTTTACTTGTTCTTAGTGTTTTTTGTTTTTTTTTTTTTCTTGTTATCTTAAACTATACTCAGATGCTGTTTCAAGATGATGCCTTTCATAGCTCGACTTGACAATTTCAAGGAGGCCTATCAGTAATCAGATTTGTCTCTTAGGCATTTGCATCGACTGAATTGGATTGTTGCAATTTGTAACTAAACAAGTGTCTCCTATATATGTTATGACCGGCTAATACCAAGTTCTGATGCCTTGAATCACATTTTCGTGATGGTGTATGGTCAAGAAGAAAAGGTTCAAATATTTTGGAGTAACTACATCTACTTTAGGATTGGGTTGTATGCAATTTGAATCCTGTTAGAAGATAATGACTATATAACCTATAAATCCTTTTAAAGAAAAAAAAAAGAATTAATTATAATAGGATACACATTTCAAAAAAAGAATTATTGCAAGCAGATCCATCTTATATTTACACATGACCTCAAAGGCACCTGCATGAATTCATTCTTCTTTTTCTCTTCTTTGTCACCAAATTTTTATTTTTCTTATGACAATAAAAAGTTTATTACTAGTATATAAAAGTCACTTTTTTCAAATGAAAATTGAAAGAAAGTCAAGTATACGAGCAAAAGCAAATTGAATCAGGTGAAAACTAACCACAGCTTTTAAGTTAAGTCACATATTAGTTAGATCTAATTTAAGAGCATTCAATTTTATACGGAAATTAGGTAGGGAAAATGAAGATAGTGAGCAAGACTTGACGATTCTTTTTAGATAAAGTTAGTGAATTTTTTACTAAAAATAATTAAGCAAAAATTTTAATAAAAATCAAACTAAAAGATTATAGAATTCAATAATAAAATTAATAATATATAAAAAAATTGAAAATACTATTTATAATTTAAATTTTAATAATATTTATTAAATAATAAAAATTTTATTAAATTTTTTAATAAAAATAATTATTTAAAAATATATAAAAGTTTGTTAATTTTCTTTAAATTTACACATTTAATCTGTACAATAAATTTTTTTCAATTTATCAACTTACATTTTAAATTTTAAATTTTATTTAATTTTTTAATAAAAATCATAAAATCATCTAAATAACTTATTTTTTAAAAAATAGTAGTATATCATCGCTAAGAATGTTAAGATAACCTAGGTTATTCACTAAAAGACGTTAGTTTACAGAATTGGTCCAGTAATTTTTGTCAAGCTTACTTTTCAACTTCATGACGTAATGGCTTATGTTAACGTAGAAAATGCCGAAATGGGTAGCTATTTTAGGCGGTAATTCGGTCTTAGTAGACCTGCGCTTTGATCAGGTGGTGGGCCTAAACTACTACTACTATATTGACATGGCTTTTCTTTTCCCGAGTGCCATTGCCATTCGTTTGCTTACAGTCATTTCTCGTCCGCTTTGCTCTGACCAAGTTTTCTGGAATATCCTACCTTGCTTTTTAATATATCCGCTCTGTTTTCCATAGTACTCTGCCGGCCCTCGTTTCTGCTTGTTTGTTTGGAGTACTGAGGTCAGAGTTGAATCCAACAGTCAACTGTCCTGGGAATTTTCTTGTACGAGCCCGATCATGAGTAGGGAAAATCGTCAGCTTCACATCTTCTTCCTCCCTTTCATGGCTCATGGCCACATGATACCATTCATGGATTTAGCCATGCTCTTTGCCGCTAAAGGTGTAAAGACAACCATTATTACCACTCCTTTGAATGCACCCCACATCTCCAAGGTAACTGAGAGGGCCAAAAACTTGGGCTTTGAAATCAACATCCTCATCACAAAATTCCCATCTGTCGAGGCTGGATTGCCTGAAGGATGTGAGAGCTTCGACAAAGCTTCATCACCAGATATGCAGTTTAAATTCTTCATAGCCACCACCATGCTCAAAGAACCCCTTGCGCATCTACTCCAAGTGCATCATCCCGATTGCCTTGTTGCAGACATGTTCTTTCCTTGGACAACTAACGTTGCTGCTGCATTTGGAATTCCAAGAATTGTCTTCCATGGAACCTGTGTGTTCTCCTTATCCGCCACAGAACACATTAGATTGTATGAGCCTCACAAGAAGGTATCGTATGATTCTGAACCTTTTGTCTTGCCTAATTTTCCAGGTGAGATCAAGCTGACAAGATCGCAACTGCCAGATTTTGTTAGGCAAGAATTAGGCTTTACCAAGTTTTATAACGAAGGTAAGGAAACAGAGTCGAAGTGCTTTGGTGTTATTGTCAACAGTTTTTATGAACTTGAATCTACTTATGCTGATCATTACACAAAGGCCCTGGGAAGAAGGGCTTGGCATGTAGGTCCCATATCGTTATGCACTAGAGACACCATTGATAAAACAGAAAGAGGAAAGATAGCATCCATAGATGAAAATGAGTGCTTGACATGGCTTAATTCGAAGAAACCCAACTCGGTTGTCTATATATGTTTTGGGAGTGTGGCAAACTTTGATTCCTCTCAACTTTTGGAGATTGCAACAGGTCTTGAGGCTTCAGGGCAACAGTTCATTTGGGTAGTCAGAAAAGAAAATAAAAATCAAGACGAAAGGGATGATTGGTTGCCAGACGGATTTGAGAAGAGAATGGAAGGTAAGGGACTAATCATAAGAGGGTGGGCACCTCAAATGTTGATTCTTGATAATGAAGCAATTGGTGGATTTGTGACTCATTGTGGGTGGAATTCCATTCTTGAAGCAGTGTGTGCCGGTGTGCCTATGGTCACATGGCCGGTGGCTGCCGAACAGTTCTACAATGAAAAGTTGCTGACTCAAGTGCTAAGGATCGGGATTGGTGTTGGGGCTAACAAATGGGCTAGAATAGTTGGGGACTTCGTGAAGAGAGAAGCAATAGAGAAGGCAGTGAGAGACATAATCGTGGGCGACAAAGCAGAAGACATGAGAAACAGGGCCAAGGCGCTAGCAGATAAGGCAAGGAAAGCTGTTGAAAAGGGGGGTTCGTCTGACTCTGATTCGAATGCTTTAATTGAAGAACTAAGTTCTCGCGCCATGAAAATACACAAGTAAAGGGTATATATAGCATTTTTATGGTTAAATCTTGGAACGATTTTCTAATGATGATCATTGTTGCATTATCTCTTGTGAGAGTCATCAACCTACCCCCTTCATCATGGTTATGCTCACCTTGTTCAAAGCCTTACCAATGATGTTACTAGCTTTGAAGTGTGTTTTCTTACTTTTCCTTTTGACTACCAAAATAACAAATTTAAAGAAAAAAAGACAATACTTTTTTAAATAATAAAAAAAATAAACATTAGTAAAATGCAACATTTGATTGAAAATTTAAAAAAAAAAAGTTAAAATGAGAGCATTATTTTTTGTAGAAACTCATCATTTTTGTTATTAATTAAATTCAAATTAATACTTTAAAAAATGTTTTCTTTTGTATCCATCAGCTAATTTTACTTTTTATTTCCTTAAGTCAAACTAAAAGTGAATAAAGCAACTGAAATGGAAACATACTCAATTTGTAAATGGAGATTCTCAATTAAACAGAATAAAAGTCAACTAAAGATTACCATGGCTATTATCATCAGGAGTTGCGTTAATAAAAATAATACAATTGTTTTTCATATATTAGAAACTTGGACTTCATTTGATTGTCAGTTTTAATGTGTTATTTGCTCCCACAATTTAATTTAGATTTTAAAAAGAAACTTTCTTAAAAACTAAAAGTTAAAGTTTTACTATTTATGAATTTTAATTTTGCATATTGATATATATATATATATATATATATCAAAATTGAATTTGTATGAATGAAAATGTCATCTAAAGTGGATGATTTGGATTTTAGAAGACTAAAAAAAATAGTTACTACTCTCTTCATCTTGTTTTTTGTTGGGATGCTATAAGATTTTTTTTTTATAGAAAATTTAGTTACAATTTTTTTATTCTAAATTATTTTTCATATTTTTTATTTGTTGATATAAAAAATCTGGATACATCAATTTTATAAAAATGAAATACAATAAAATTAATTTCTTTTAATTATGCTGAAAGTGAAATGAGAAAAAAAAATTGAGATCAATGAGAATTATCTATTATTATAATGAATATTTCATAATGATATTTTGATATAAGCTTTTCTGTTTCTAGGTTCTGTTACGCCTGAAGCAATAATCACAATAATACAGAAGCAATAGACAACACTCAATAATCAAATACGCAGAAAAAATAAAGCACACCAAGATTTACGTGAAAAATCCTTCAGTGTAGGGGAAAAAAATCACGGGCCACCAAAAAAATCTTCACTATCAAATAATAGTTATACAAAGTTCTTCTCTAGCTAAAACTAGAGCTAATCAACAACTAGAGAAACAATTGAAGAAATCTCACCAAATAAGTGACTCAACAAATACAGCCTGAATTTGTTCCTAGAGAGCTTCAAATCCGATCTTCACCGTTCAGAATGTAGAACTTTGAATCATAAACCTCCTGACAAGGTTCTAACTCAATCGGACCATGGATCGACTTCCGTTTAACCAACTCTCCCTTCTCCTTTTTCTCTCTCTGCTTTTCCTGGCTTTTTTTCTTTCTCTGCTTAGTTTTCGACACACACCTAAAACAACCCCACCTCTTTTTTATTAAGTAGTTAGGGCTCTGTGTAAAATAAAAGATCAAGGCCCATGGCCTTTACTTGGTCCAAAATTACTTACATGGGATTGGACTTCATTTTTCTAACAATCTCTCCCTCCAGCCCCATTAGGAGGAGATTCATCACCATAACAGTTTCATCTGGAACTTACCTTGGTCAGGGAACTCATTCCGGTTAAGTTACTGCAAAGCTCAAGCTTTTTCCTGAAAAGTTTACCAAGATCATAAGTACCATTCTTTCACAATGACTCTATCTCTTCTTTTATTGCTTTTAATCAGTGCTCTCTATCCGAAGTAACCTGCACATCTTGAAAACTTTCTAGCTCCCCTTCACTGGTAACTAAAATAAAATCTGAACTTGGATACCTGATAGATGGCCTACGCTCTCTAGTAGATCTCCTAGGTTGAGACTCTACATCACTTGATGCCAAAGGTAGTTCCCCCTGCTCAACACTCTCAAGTAGAAAGGATTGCTCTCCCTACTCAAAACTAATAGCATCTGGCTCATCACCAACTATAGCCGGCTTATTCATATCTCCAAGTTCTGTTTCTTGCTCATTTTCACCATCTGTGGCTCTTTCCTGTGAAATCTCTGTCAGTGTTGAAACATCACACTCAACAGTAACCTGTGTAGTCTTCTCATTTTTTTCAAAGTATGCTATGGTTTCTTTTTCATGAAAGACCACATCCATGCTTCTGACTGTCTTTCTCTTTACTGGATCTTATACCCTGTAGCCAAATTCCTCATCACCATATCCTACAAACATACACTGTGTAGCTTTACTGTCAAGCTTTGACCTCTGCTCTTTTGACACATGCATGAATGCTTTACACCTAAAAACTTTCAAGTGAGAGTATGAAGTATCTTTCCATGCCACACTCTTTCTGAAATGTCAAAGCCCAAAGGAACTGATGGTGACCTGTTAAGTAAATAATAAGCTGTGTTGACTGCTTCACCCTAGAATGACTTTGGTAATTTTGCCATCCTCAACATACATCTGACTTTTTCCACAATGGTGCGATTCATTCTTTCAGCTATACCATTATGCTGCGATGTTCCAGGTTATGTCTTCTCATGCATGATCCTATGCTTTGAGCAATACTCTTCAAAGTCTTTAGATGTGTATTCCCCACCACTATCAGTTAGAATACACTCAAGGATAATCCTGTCATCCTTTCAACCATGGCATGAAATTTTTGAAAATACTACAGTATCTGACTTTTGTATTTCAAACATATTACACCCAAGTCTTACGTGAACATCATCAGATAATAAGGTAACAAATATCTGCTACCACCTAATGAGCTCAACCTCAATGGGACCCACATACGTCAAAATAAATTAATTTCAATCTATTTTCTTTTCTCTGAGAACTTTTACGAAAAGAAACTCTATGATGGCTTACCAAACAAACAATAATACATGAATCGAGAAACATACCTTGGTCAAGGGAATGAGAGGTGCCTTGCCAAAATCTATAACCCTTTTTCACTCATGTGTGCCAGCTTCCTGTGCCACAAGTTTACTGAAGCATCATTTTCAACGGTATTTACCTGGTTACCGTTCAATTGCATCCATGACTTATACATTGTGCAACATAGTTTTCTCCTTGCAACTACCATAGATCCTTTGAGAAGCTTCCATTGTCCATTCTTTTGTCAGTTTTCATATCCCTCCTTATCAAGGACATTAATAGCAAGCAAGTTCATTCTCATATCTGAAATGTGTCTGACATCCCTCAAAGTCAACATGCAGCCTATACTAGTTTGTACAATAATATCACCAATCTCAACAATCTGCGACACACTCTTGTTTCCCATCTTGGTACAATCAAAGTCTCCTGCTTTGTAAGTTGTAAACAACTCTCTCTTAGGAACATAATGATATGTCGTTTCTGTGTCAACTATCCACTCAATGCCAGGATCACTAACATGATTGCAATCATCATGTGTACAAATCAAAGTAACTGAATCACTATCTGAATTCACTGCTGCAACATTGCCATCATCTGACCTCTTATCTTTCTCATATTTTCGCTCTTGCTTTAAGATTCTACAGTTTCGTTTTATATGACCCGCCTTACCACAATGAAAACACTTCATTTTACCTCTAAACTTGGATCTATGTTTAGACTTACCACGGCCTTTTGAGTCCTGACCTCTGTCGATGTTTCTACCCCTGTTCTCTGTGACTAGAGCTTGATTCTCAGGGTCTACATCTTTTTCATTAAGCATATTGTCCTTTACCATCTCCAATGTCACCTTATAATCATGAGTTGAATTAAGAACAGTCACAATTAGAGTATTTCAGCTGTCTGGCAATGAACCCAAAAGAAATAACACATTCATTTCATCATCCATCTTAAGCTCCATAGTAGTCATCCGATTAAATATATCTTGAAAATCACTCAAGTGCTCTATAACAGATCGTCCATCCCTGTACTGTAAAGTTACAATCTTTTTAACAAGCATAACTTTATTCATACCTATTTTTTCTCATACAATGCTGCCAATTTTTCTCAAATAATGTGAGCATCTGACTCCTGCGCTACATAATGGAACACGCTGATATCAACCCATTTTCTGATTGTAGCCAGCGTCTTTCTACCTAGCTTCTTTCAGCTTTCATCTTTCATATCTGCTGGTATAGCCGAATCACCCAATATTGGCTCATACAAATCTTTACAGTATAGATGATCTTTCATCATAGGCTTTTAAATTGAATAATTTGATGCTGTCAATTTTAATATAGAACCTGTATCACCCTCCATGATCTCAAACAGAACTTACTTCTATCTTGGGTTACTTTTGTATCGATGTCTCAAAAATAACCATCGTTCTAATACCACTTGTTGCGCCTGAAGCACTAATCACAATAATACAGAAGCAATAGACAACAATCAATAATCAAATACACAGAAAAAATAAAGCATACCAAGATTTACGTGGAAAACCCTCCAGTGTAGAGGGAAAAAACCACGGGCCACCAGAAAAATCTTCACTATCAAATAATAGTTATACAAAGTTCTTCTCTAGCTAAAACTAGAGCTAATCAATAACTAGAGAAACAATTGGAAAAATCTCACCAAATAAGTGACTCAACAAATACACCCTGGATTTGTTCCTAGAGAGCTTCAAACCCGATCTTCACCCTTCAGAATGTAGAACTCTGAATCATAAACCTCCTGATAAGGTTCTAACTCAATCAGACCACGGATCGACTTTCGTTTAACCAACTCTTCCTTCTCATTTTTCTCTCTCTGCTTTTCCTGGCTTTTCTTCTTTTTCTCCTTGGTTTTCGACACACACTTAAAACAACCCCACCTCTTTTTTATTAAGTAGCTAGGGCTCTGTGTAAAATAAAAGATCAAGCCCATAATCTTTACTTAGTTCAAAATCACTTACATGGGACTAGACCCACAGATTCTAGGCTTCTAACTAATCATATGATTCAGTTTTTTATGCTGATTGCAAGTACCAAAAGGTCTGGAAACTCTCAGCTGCAGTATTCTCTAGATGTGGAACGGAAAATGAGAGGTGATAAATGCACCAAGACGAGTGGCGTTGAGAGTTATGGGCTTTCTTATAATAATCCAAAGCTGCTTTTTGTATTACTCCGCCCTACTAGCTATCTTGCTTGCATATTTATCAATAATATTCACGTCATGATCGATTTCAAACAACCACAAACAAGGTTTCAGACTCATCTTCCTTTCTGTGTCATTGCCATTTTTTATCTCTCCTTCACTTTCTACCATCTGAACTTTCATTCTGCTCTGACTCTGAAGTCTTTGTATAAGGGAATATGGGTGGTGAGAATCCTCAGCTTCACTTAGTCTTCTTTCCTTTCATGGGTCATGGCCACATGATGCCAATGGTTGACATGACTAAGCTGTTTGCAATGAGAGGTGTAAAGACAACCATTGTCACCACTCCACTTAATGTTCCTTTCCTCTCTCGACAATCCAAAGTAGCAAGAATTCAGGTATCAATGTCGATATCCGAATCCTGAAATTCCCTTATGCTAAAGCTGGATTGCCTGAGGGCTGTGAAAACCTGGACTCTATCACAAGTTCCCAAGAAGCAAACATGGATATGATTGGGAAATTCTTCAAGGCTACAGCCATGCTTCAAAAACCCCTTGAGCAGCTGATGCAAGAATGTAAACGAGATTGCTTGGTAGCTGATATGTTTTTTCCTTGGGCTATAGATAGTGCAAACAAGTTTGAAATTCCCAGGTTAATGTTTAATGGTATCAGTTTCTTTTCATTATGTATATCAGAATCCATTAGTCTATACGAGCCATACAAGAAAGTCGAGTCAAATTCAGAATCTTTTGTGATTCCTAACCTTCCTGGTGATATTAAGTTGACAAAAAAACAGATGCCTGATGTTTTAACACAAGACGATGAAAATGACTTTACCGAGTTGGTAAAAGAATGAAGAGAAACAGAGCTGAAAAGCTATGGGGTTCTCGTCAACAGCTTCTATGAGCTAGAGACCACCTATGCTGATCACTACATGAATGTTTTGGGAAGAAAGGCATGGTATATTGAGCCTGTCTCATTATGCAATATGACCATTGAATATAAAGCAGATAGAGGGAAGAAACCATCGATTGACGAACACAAATGTTTAGAGTGGCTTGATTCAAAAGAACCCAATTCAGTTGTTTATATATGTTTAGGAACTGCGGCCAAATTCAATGCTGCTCAGTTAATGGAGATAGCGATTGCCATTGAAGCAACAGGGCAGCAATTCATTTGGGTCGTGAGGAAAGAAAAGAACAATGAAGAAGAGGAGGACAGGTTGCCTGAAGGATTTGAGAAGAGGATGGAAGGCAAAGGACTTATAATAAGAGGATGGGCACCACAAGTGTTGGTTCTTGATCATGAAGCAGTTGGAGGATTTGTGACTCATTGCGGATGGAATTCAACTCTAGAAGGTGTTTCTGCTGGTTTGCCTATGGTCACCTGGCCAGTGTTCGCGGAGCAGTTTTACAATGAAAAACTAGTAACCCAAGTTCTGAAGATTGGCGTTGGTGTTGGAGTACAAAAATGGGTTGAAGTAGGGAGAATTTGTGAAAAGAGATGCAATAGAGAAGGCGGTGAAGGAGATAATGGTGGGTGAAAGAGCAGTGGAAATGCGAAGCAGAGCCAAGGCGCTAGGAGAAATGGCAAAAAGAGCTGTTGAAAAAGGAGGTTCATCTTTTTGTGATTTCACTGCTCTGATTGAAGAACTGAGCTTGCAACGCTATTGAATCAATAGGCTAACCAGATTTTGCATATGGAGTTCCATAATTCGATATTCAAGTAACATATGCTCGTTGGAGTTTGTTAGTTCTTTTGTTCTTTGATAGCTGTAACTTTTTCCAAGTTCATAAATAAATAGATTTGAGGCTTAATTCCATAGTTAATGGTTACAAGTTACAGTATATGGGAAATTATTTTCCCGGTGACATGTTTGTAAACTTTTTTACGTGTTGGGATATAATTTACATGTGAGTAAAGAATCTTATATTCATAAGAAATTTGAATGAAATGTTTTATATATACATGAAAGATTCAATAATCTAATAGTTTAAGTTTTTGGACTCAAGTAGTATCCAACATATATTTATGAACTTTCTTATGTATTCTTATGGCTTAAGTGTAGTTTATCTCCCTAACAAATGATATCAAAACCAAAGTTATGGCGGATTCAAATCCCAGTGATGTTGCTAGAGAAGAGATTATTGGTAGATCTAAAGTTAGTTACGTCCATCAATTCCATGTGCTCGAACATTGGTATTAAAAGATTTGATTTAAATGCAACGAGTCTATGATAATATGCAAAAGCGAAACACTAAAGTGGGTGATTTAGATGCAGCAAATCTATGATAATATGAAAAAGCGAAACACCCAAGTGAGCGATGGTTAACTCAACATAAAGTGTAAGTTTGAGGGAGCATTAAAATAATTAGACAATCTAGTTGAGTGTTGTGTTTTAGCCCAAAAGCACACTAAAAATGTGAAGTTGCTTGACTCAAAGGAGGTGTTGATAGGGCTTACTCATTCGGGAGAGTTGATGTGGGACTTTATCATAACTCACAAGTAAATGAGAGAGATTGTTGAGATAAAAATTTAAATAAAATGTCATATATATATATATGTATAAAAACCTTAAGAACTTAATAATTTAAACTTTTGAGCTCAAATAATATCTAATATATATATATATATTTGAACTCTCTTATGTATTTCAATGAACTCCAAATATGATTTATCTTCTCAAAACGACATTAGAATCAAACAAGCTAACAAGTAAGTAAGAAGAAGATTTGGCCTTATCTACGTAATTCCATGGAATGAAATCCCCATAAAAGAGTTGAGCCCATCAAAGATCGATTAGCCCAGCGAAGTTACCGCCCGAACTTGGATCATATTCTGTTTTTGCAAGTTTTCTCTTCCATTCCCTCTCTTCTAAATTATAAAAAGAGTAAGATTAAGCAAAAATAAAAAAGAAAATGATCTAATTCCCTATTAGTACACTTTTAATCTACAAACGGAATTAAAAGTTATCACATTCCTCATTAGAGTAAGATTAAGCAAAAATATGAATTAAATTGTTGATTCCATTTAATAGTAAATTCATTGTTTTTCGTTTAATTGTGAAAAGAGAACAATAGTGTATTTGCACAAGCGCACACCCTTTTTCCTTGCTTAATATTCTTTTGATTGGTTTAGATAATTTTTTTGTTATATTTATTTATTTATTGAATTTAAATTTAATTTAATATCATGGTTATTATTTTAATTTCATTATTATAAAAATTAAAATTAATTTATTATATTATAACTTGATTAATTCAAAAAGATTCCAAATCTCTAACTAAATATGAAATATGTTTTACTTTTCCTTTTGAGAACTATAATTTCTTTTTTTCATATAATATTTTACTCTCAATTATACCTTAAATCTCTTTCTTTGTTGTCAAGCAAATTTTTTTTAATAAAAATTTCAGATTAAAACCACTTTTATAAAAGATTAGAAAAGTAATTCATCATATTATAAGTTGATTAGAAAAGTATCTTTACTTGTAATCTCAAATTTTCAACTTTATTCATTTAATGGTTTGTATTTTTATTTTTGATAAAAATATATTGTTTAATAACTAATTTATTTATATATATTTAAAAATAATTACTCAAAATTTTAAATAAACTTATTTATTTGATGTATTTTATTTATTTATACATTTATTTCATTTTATGAAAAAATTAAGATCATGTATAAAATTATTTGACCCTTTTTAAAATCAAATTTGAATATCTGCCATTGTAGAAAGGTAAGTTTTTTTTGTCTCTAAGTAAATATAAAAATTTAAAATATAATATAATAATACAATATAAAAATAATACCAAAAAATATGAAAAGTTACATGAATTAAAATTTTAACAAGATCATATATGATTTTAACATACAAAAAAATGTATTTTATGTTTTATATATTAATATATAACTTTCATATAAAATATAATATAAATATATAAATTATTAATATTTTACATTATATGAATATATAAATTCCTAAATATAACAAGTGTTTAAATTCCACTTCTACAACTAAAGAAGTTCTATATGCAAGAGTTAAAAAAAAAAAAAAAAATGAAATGACAAAGTTAAACTGAAAATTTGAAATGGTGTAGGATGGATGCCTACAACTTTTACAAAAAGTTCGCATTGCCGACCATGAAGTCCAACTTTTTTCATTAAATCAAGACAAACTTTTATCAAACACTATGTTTTTGTTATCATTAATTCCTGGGTTTGCCGATGCTTAGTTGAGTTGTAACAACTTAACAATTTTGATAATGGTGACGTTTTTAAAACGAGCATAGCTTTATCAAATCCAGGGGAACATGGGGTATTGCAAAAGGTAAGGTACTATGGTCCACAAAAAATTTCAAATTCACTTGTAATTTTATTTTCATAAATTTTTAAAAATACCCACTATTTTTTCCATCATGCGAGCATTTAACAGGGGAAAAAAAAAAGAATCAAGTGGGTTTAAATTAAACGATATCTACATCTTGTGTTTGTGGTATTTATTTATATATTAAAAATTTATTTGTGTAACACAATTAGACATAGACATGCTCATAAATCAGATCAAATTTTAAGAAAATTTTGTCTAAGATCTGGTCCATCGAACCTAATAAATTCAATTTTTTTAATAATAAATCTTGAAATTAAATAAAAATATTTTTATTAAATTTTAAATATTTCAAGTCGGCACAAACTCCAAATTTCTTGTTTAAAGTCCGATGTACTAGGCTTGAATGTCTAATTAGAAGTATCTTAAATTGTACTTGCAATTTTCTTTCAAAATGCCTTTCACAAAAATTAATCTTTAATTGATAAAGAGAAATATTAATTTTTTTATTAACAGAACTAACTCTTCTTGGTTTATTTATTGAAATGTCAGCTCATATGCTATTTATTTGAGACTATACTAATGTATCATTAATAAAAAAATTGAAGGAAAATATATAATTAGAATTAACTAAAAGGAAACTGGTAAGGATTATCCAATTCATTTGAGAGATGAGAACTGACGTTAGCTTTCAATCAATATTGCATAACAACCTGTAAAGTGACCAAAGAATGAAAATCCGATGCTTTTCCCCCCTTATCTACAACTAGGGGTGTAAATGATACATTAGTACTCGCAAGCTACTCGGGTTCGATTCGAAAAAAACTCGAATTCGGTTCGATTATTGTCGAGTCGAGCTCGAGCTCGAGTAGCTCGATTTATCGATCGAGCCGAATTCGAGTATTATTATATCTGACTCGAGTAGCTCGCGAGCCTAATCGAGCTTTTATATTTAAATATATTTTTATTATTTTAATTAATAAAATATTTCGAGTCCGAGTTCGAGTTCGAGTTCGAGCATGAATAATCGAATTTTTGTCGAGTATACGAATCGAGCTTATTTTTACATATTAATCGAGCTTAATCGAGCGAGCTCGAGTAGCTCGAATTCGATCACGAATCGAGCTCGAGCTTGAAAAATAAAACTCGATCGAGCTCGAGCCGAGTATCGAGCCCCGAGTTGTGAGTCGAGCTCGAGCTCGAGCCTCTCACTACTCGGCTCGGCTCGGCTCGTTTACAGCCCTATCTACAACGCAGTAAAAAAATTTTATCTCATGTGTAATTAATCATTGATTGATCAAATATTAAATTAAAAAAAAATTCAAGCAACATCATGATTTATCTTTTCGCCCTCTTAAAATGTTTTTTTTGCTATTTTAAAGAAAGAGGTTTTGAGATTTAACCTTTAATTCAGAAGGGGAAGATCTTAAAATTTTAAAATTTTAGATTTAAGTTTTATTATATATAATTTAATTATTTAATTAAATTAGAATTTATTAATTAATTATTTAATGTTATAATAATTAATTATTAATATAATATTTATTTCATTTTAAAAACTTTTGTCGGCTTTTCTTTAAAACATTACATCAAGAAGAGTGGTTCACGTCACGTGTAATAATTATTTTGGCGGGGTAAAAAATAAGTACTGTTCCCAAGGTTAAGAAGAATAGTAACAACCATAACTGAAAATCCCGCTAAATGCGGAGTAAATGGATTGGCCATTCATTTCTTTAATCACCTCTTGTTCTCCATTAAATTTCTTGTACTATAAATCCTAAGTTCTTCATATTTGTAGAAATTAAGACGAGAAAATGATGCCTCACTGCTCACAAAGTGTTTCAATACTAAGGCACAACGACACAACGATTTCTATTTTTTTATTATGATTTCACTTCAGTTTTAATTTATAAAAAGATCAATTTGAATTTTTGATTTTTGTCAAGTGATACTATTTTAATCATTTTCCAATATTATTCTAGTAATAAATTGAGAAAAACATTCAGGTGGCATGCGAACAAATGTCCAAGTGATGTATTACATAATTTATAACATGAAATTATTATTTGTATAATTTATTGATAAAATATTATATTTTTAATTTTAATAATAATAATTTAAATTATAACAGTTTAAATTCAAAAAAATCTACGATAAGAATTTATTTTAATTTTAACGAAACAATTTGATGAAATAACTAAAATGTAATCATTTTAAAAAATTAAGAATTTGAATGAAATAATTCATAAATTATTAACAAAAGTGAAATAAAAAAAATGAACATAAATGAAATTTACTTATATCATTCTTTCGTTTCACTTTGCAATTTAAATATTAAATCAATTTCATACAAAAATTCGTATTAATACTTTATTTGAATGATCCGTTAAAGATACAGTTTTAAAACAACTGAGTGCGATCATCCAAAATAAGCATAGGTCATAGACTAATTAATAGATGTCAATTGCTCGCTCGAGTAGAAAAAATCGTACTTAAAAAAAAAAAAAAGGGCGGGGGGGGGGGGATTGGGGGAATCAGAAAGGAAAAAGAAAAGTAAATGTGGTCGTTAAAGTTATCGCCTTACTAGTACTATTAGACTATTATTATAAGCTGGACTTGGTTAAACCCAAATCTCCAATCTCTTTATTTGATAATAATGCAAAAAAAAAAAAAAAATCACCAGGAAAATATCAAGTGCATCAATTTCAAAAGCGAAACCAAGAGTAGTAAATGTTGACTTAGCCACACTTAACTGATTCGACATCCTCCATCAATTACCAACAACAACAACCGTTTGTTTAAACCATTCTTTTATCCCCAGCTCCACCACCTCTCATCTACTATTTCCTTTTCCTTCAGTCCATCCCTTTTACCTTCCTTTCAGATTCGTGTTTGGTGTTCTCAATTTGCTCCGTGATTCCTTCTCTTTCTCTTAACTTCCAAAAAAAAAGAGAAAATTTTTTTAAAAAAATCCAAACTCTCTCGTCTCTGAAAGAAAAAGAGAAATGAAGAGCAATCCTAATACAAAGTTAATTCTCCTCCACCCTTCTATCCACAAATCCTCCACTTCTTCTCACCGCTTCTTCCTCCTCTTCTTCATTACTTTCTTCACTTTAGCTTTCACTCTTGCTCTCTTCACCTCCGCCACCATTTCTAACTCCAATACCGCTTCGCTTTCAACCGCCTCCTCGTCCACCCTTCCTTCCTCCGTCACCACCGCGCTACTCCACTATGCTTCCACCGCCACCGTCAACACCACGACTCACCACATGTCGTCCTCCGAGCTCTCCCTCGTTGCTTCGACTCTTCACAACTGCCCCTCCTCGCCTTGCCGTTTTCTTGTGTTTGGTCTCACACACGAATCCCTCCTATGGCACTCCCTCAACATCCACGGCCACACCATTTTCCTCGACGAAAGCGAGTACTTGGTCTCATCATTTGAACGCAATCACCCCGAAATCGAAGCTTACGATGTACAATACACCACCAAAGTAAACCAAATGTCAGATTTATTATCCCAAGCCAAATCCCACTTCGAAAACGAGTGCAAACCAGTCCAAAACCTCCTATTTTCCGATTGTAAACTAGCAATCAACGACATGCCAAACCATATTTACGATTTAAGTTGGGATATAATCTTAATCGATGGGCCACGTGGCTACTTCCCAGATGCTCCAGGGAGGATGGCTCCGATATTTACGGCGGGAGTGTTGGCAAGGAGCAAGAAGATAGGTGGGAAAACGCATGTTTTTGTGCATGATTTTGAGAGGGACGTGGAAAGTATTTTCAGCGACGAATTCTTGTGTGAAGAAAACTTGGTCGAAACTGTGTATTCTTTAGGACATTTTGTAGTGGAAAAAGAAGAAGCGAGCGATAGTAAAAAGTCTGAGTTTTGTAAGAATTCGACATCATCGTCGCCCTTGTCTGTTTCTTTATCATCAGGAGAGGATGATGATTGAAGAGATTTGAATGGGGTTTGATTCTACTTGCAAATTGTATCATTTACAACTCTTTTTTTTTTTTTCTTTTTCAGTACAAAAGTGTAATATTTATATAGGTTTAAAAGTTTAAACCATAGGAAGTGTATCCAGAAAAAATATAAACAAGTTTTGCAAAGTTAAATGGTTTTAACTGTTTTTATGGCCAATTAATTCTGTTTGGTGGCCGAGAAGGGTGGGGAAAGGAAAAAATTATTTAAATTTGGAATTTTTTTATTTTAAAGTACTTCTTTTGGTTGCTGAGAAAATAGTGGGAAGTGAACAAATTGAAATTTGAATAAAAATTTATATTTGATATATTATTAATAAATAAATTTTATATATAATTAATAAGTTAAATAATATCATTTAGTAATGAATAAATATTAATTTTAAAATAAATATATAAAATTAATATTTTTTAAAAATTTTATTAATTAATGAAATGATATCTTACGATCCTATAGAATGTATGCATCAAATATAAATTTTTTGAATTATTTTTAAACTTCATAATAATGCTTGGCTGATGCGATTTTGACCAATAAACCCAAACTGAATATATTAATGAAAATTAGAAATCCCATGCAAAAGAAACATTTCATAAATTTACCTGAGATTTTCTCGGCAACCAAACCAGAGAAGAGAAAAAAGAAAAGAAAAGAAAGTTAAAAGAAGAAAGTGACTGTGATAAAGGCGTCGGTGGTGGATTGCAGTGAAGGAAGGTTTGGAGCGAGGTTGAGAGACCATGTGAGGTTAGCGAAACCCCGTGGTACTATTTTAAGATTCGAATCCGGCCAGAGTGGGGTCCAGTGGTACGTGCTACAAAGCTCCGTGAATGTCAACTCTTAATATAATTGGCTTAGAGGCGAGTGCGGTAGTTTTGCAGCATTAAAAAAAAATACAGTATTTAAAGGTACGGCTTTCAACGCTGGTGGTCTCGTGAGTGAAAGGGTACGTTACGCCAGACGAGTGAAAGAGACGTGTCGGTGTGGCAATAAAACCTGGTTAATGTCACTTGTGTCAGTGGTCACACTCACACATTTACAATTGACCAAAAAAAATACTTGTTTTTCTTTTTTATTATGTGAGAGAATATCATAATTCTTCCATCTGAAATGTTTGGATTGTATTAATTTTCAAAGAGTTAAAAAATTTTTAATTTTAATATATTTAATATTATTTTTTTAATAAAATTGAAATTTTATAATTTTTAAGATTAAAAAAATTAAAATGTTAAATATTATAAAAATATATAATTTTCAAATATCTTTAAAAAATAAAATAATATATGCACTGGTTTAGTCAATCTTGCTTGACTTTGTTGTAAAAAGTGAGTACTAAGATCTGGGTATTTGGCCCAATTAGTAGGTACATCTTTTTTCCAAGGAATTGATTTGCTTTTTTTTTTTCAAATTAAAAGTGAATTTTATCAAATGTTTTATTTAATATAAATTTTAATGGGCTTCAATAAAATTGTATTACGAACAATTTTTTATAATATTTTTTTATTTCAAATTATTTAAATATTATTAATTTTTACGAAATTAAAAAAACAATTTAACTTCAATTCTTTTATTATTAAAATTTAATATTTTAAAAAATTAAAAATTCATAATTTTTAATATTAATTAAAATAATTTTAAAATATAAAAAAGGATATAATTTTAAAACATTCTAAAAAGAAGTAAAGAAAGAAATAAAATGGAGGGAATAATGACAAAGTTCATCCCAATCCCTTTTAATCGATTGTAAAATGAATGCGGCAAAAGGTTCATTTGAATTTGAAAATCGAATTAGTTGGGGGGTCAATTTAAATTGTTTGTTTAAGCAACCTAGGATGGTATGATTAGAATAGAATCAACTTGAAACCTGACAGAAAATTAGAAAAAGATGGGAATTCATTGCAACTTAATAACAAGAAATAATATTCCTTTTGTCTCATTTTTTTTAATATTTTTGAGATATCATAAAATTATGTATTATTTTTATTTTTAAATATCTAAAATTTTTATTTTTAAAAATTTTAAAATTATTTTTTGTGATTTTTTATATTAAATTTTATGAAATCTTAATTTTATAAGAAAATTTAAAAATTTAATATTAAATGCATTAAAATCATTTTTTTTTAATTTCATGAAAGCCAATAATACATAATAAATATTTTGAGGCGAAAATATATTAATTAATTAAAAATTAAAATTTAATTATATTATTTTTATATAAAAAAGTTATTACTTCCATCAGTGAAAATGGTGGATTAAGAATAATAGTAGCACAGCTAATTGATTTTTCAAGGCATCTACATTTGGATACGTCATTCATATTATAAAATCAAAGGCAAAAGTGTGAAAATTGAGTGAGCTGCCAATAGTTTTATGGTATGCTTGTTAAATGTTTGACATTTAATCTAGTAATTCAAATTTTAACAGCTTCACATATTAAAAAAAATTATTGACTGAGTTGAGCTTCAATGAATATTTATTTAATATAAACAGGCTGTTGGCACAGAGTACAAATTTTTTGTGTGGTTTGATTTGTGGGAATTTATTGAAATGGGGATAGTATGTCCTTCTGGTGCATGTGAGGTCGTGATTTTAATTGAAGGTTGGGATGGTACGTAGGCCCCGGTTACATAACAAGATTGGTGGAAATTTATCAGAGCTGTGTGACGCCGGATGCTGATCTCGTCTATCAAAATGGGGCCTGCGAGTTTTGTAGATTTTAAATTATGTAGGTTATTGATTAAATCTGGTAGAAAGTTTGGAAATAGCTGAATAATTTATTAGAGTAAAGAAATTTAAATTTTAATAATTAACATTTAATTTTTGATGATTTTAAATTAAAAAATTTTAAAATATCGTCTGGTCTATCTTAGAATTTAAGTTAAAATGTACAATTAATTATCTAATTATAAAAATATTTTTATAATGATTTTTTAATTATTAATTTTTTGTAATTTAATCACTTAAATTTTAATAAAAAAAATTTTTATCACTCAATCATTAAATTTTAATGATGTGCTAATGTAGCATTACTATATTAGCGATCATATGTCACATGACATTACTAAATCATCTTACATACAACATAATATATTGATAATTATTAACATGAAAAATTGTTAACAATATCACATGATGCTTAATAGTTGATATGATAATACTATATCAGCACATTATTAATGATAATTAGTTGAATGATAAAAAAAATTTAAATTTAAATAATTAATGATTAAATGATCATTTTAACAATATAATTATAATTGAATGATCAATAATATATTTTATTTTGAAATTTATGTGCAATTCCGTTTAAGCTTGTTTCATAGTGAAATACTTTCTTTTTTTTTTTTTTGGTTCTAACAAAGAGGCATACAGCTTAAAGTTATGTTACAAAGATAACAAACCCAAATTATCAAAGTAACCTCTTATTAGATAGAATAATTTTAGCTCACAGTTAAAGTGGATTATCCTTCGTATATAAAAGACAGAAAAAAAAAAAAAGTAAAAAACCTGAAAGTCCAATCAATAAATTTTCTCAGCGGAAAAGAAACAAGATCTCATCAATTCATTCATTCAATTCAATACCTATATATTAAAGTTGTCATCAAAACATCTATTTAAGACATTTGGAAAATTAAATTTTAATTTTATGTCAAGTATCCCTTAGGATTGATTGAATAATTAAAAATTTAATTAATGATTTGAGGGTAATTGGTTAGATTATTTTAGGGATAGAATTTGACTAAGAATCACATAGGGGGTCCTTCGATTGAAAAGTGGCACCGAAAGAACTCTGATGGGATCCTTGGTCTGTCTCTTTTCCTGATTGGGGAAAATATGGTATATAGTAATAGTCTTGTCTTGGGAAATTGTTAAAGTTGTGTTTCCGCTTTCTACTTTTCTTTTATCGAGATGTAGCTAGGTCCATGCCCCGAATAGTCAACATTTCGGCTTTTGCTCATGTAGCTAGGTCCATGTTAATCCTAGCCAGCCATGCAGCTTATGCCAAGCCCATTAATAAGCCATTTGCCCATTTCTCTAGCAGACTCCTTGTCCTTATAGCCCGTTATAGGCGATAATCCAACCACGTTTCTTCAACATTCCAATATTCTTCAATCCCACTTGTTGACAAATTATAGCTCTCTGAAATTTGTGGCTTTCTTGTGTTTCACTTCTAACAAATGGGGCGTTACCATGATTATTGGATGTTTACCAATATATGATCACCTCAGCCTGATAACCAGCCACCATTCCCACATTAGTAGAACTGCATATAATCCAAGTTAAGTTGAGCATGATATAATTTCTTTTCTTTTATTTATTTTAAAAAAATTATTTGATATACTATTAGTAAAATTTTTTAATTTTATGAATGGAATTAACGTGGGATACATGTCCCATTTCTTTCTATTAATCTTAGAACAAAAAATTTTAAAAACATCAAATATCAGTATATTTAATAATTACTCTTATTTTAATCTACTTTTAATTTTTAATTTTTATCTACTTAACCGATTAGATAAAAATATTATATACTTTAATCTTCTCGAATCCCTATTTTTGTAAAATTTACTAAGTATGCATATCTTTTGAACTAATACTCAGTTATTTTTTTTTTATAGACTCCATTTCTAGTCATAGATACGCTAAATTAATTTAGAGCTATATATATATTTGATATCTCAAAATATTTTTAAGAATACAAAAATACCTCCAAATTAGTGGTCATATATATAACTTTTTTTTTTCTTACTAATTACACATAATTGCCTCTATAAATTGTACCGTTTCTTTCTAAAGGATGATTATGATATCCACTACATAAAAAGTAGAAAATAAAAACAAGAAACTGCCAAGATTGCTTCCAATAGCAGAATCATAACAGTCGAACTGCCGTTTTATTCAGCTTTCCAATAACTGCATATATAATGGATACGCTGGATATTTGGTAATGCAAAGGTAAAAAAAAGCTTAAAATTTGTGTCTTGAAAGAGTTTTGTAAGTAACTGGAGCTTTCTTGGACCTTGCCCAATGATGGTGCCATGGAGCATTAGGCCTACAAGGGATGGTTTTATATGTTGCAGGATACGGGCAAAACCTAATGTACTTGAAGTAGAATTCCGCACACTCATGCAACGATTTTTGATCAGGAAGACCGTGGATGCAGTTCCGTCTCACGTCAAGAACCCCATTCTTGATCAGCTTTCTGCACACTGGACCTACTTTGGTGAAATAGTTATCTGACAATGATAAGTTCACCAAGTTTCCTAGTGCGCACAGCTCCTCGGGTATCTCCCAATAGAGTAGGTTATTAGCAAAGTTGAGTAGCTCGATTTTCTCCAAACAGGCCAAGGAGCAGGGCAATGGACCCGTTAATAGGTTGTTTTCAACATCAAAAACCTTGAGCTCTTTCAGAAATCCTAGTTCGTAGGGAAGACAACCTGATAACTTGTTGTTCAACAGTAAAACCTCGATCAATGTTGAGTTCAGGTTGCCAATGCTTCTTGGGATTGGACCGGTTAATTTGTTGTTAGCCAAGGTAAGATAAAGTACCGGTGTGGAACCAAAGTTTTCTGGGAGTTGTGCTGTGAAATCATTGTTGTTAATGAAGAGTGCCTCAAGTGCTTGATTGAAAATTTGTGGAGGGACTGATCCAGTGAATGAATTAAAACGGATATCAAGAAATGAGAGTTCTTTTAAACCAATAACTGTTGTAGGAAATGTGCCAGAGAAGACATTGTTACTTATGTCCAACTCATAAAAATAGGGGAGTTTTGAGATATCTGGTACGGACCCAGAGAACTTGTTTGAATTTGCATGAAAGATTGCAAGGTCAGGCAGCTGATCTATAAAACCTTGGACAGTCGGAGCTGCTAGGAGAAACCCATTGAAGTCAATGCCAGCCAGGGCAAGGGCTGATACATTATCGGGTGGATTATCACAGTACAAGCCTGTGTAGTTGCATATATCAGAACCAACCCAATTCCCGGTTCTGTTTAGTGGATCTGCCGTGATCGTTTTCTTGAATGCTTGGATGACGGGGTACACAACAGCAAGTCTCTTGTCTTTAAAGATTAACTTTCGCGTATTGACTGCCAGTGGAGGTGGGCCACCTACTGGACTTTCAGAACTATTCTGGCATAGCACAGAAATTAGAAACGGAAGGAGAAGAAATGAAATGCAAGTGAAGGCTTTGCTGAAGAAGGAAAAGTTTTCCATTGATCAAAAGAAGGAAATGGGGGAGATAATAAAAGACTATAAGTCACAAAGATTTGAGGATCAAAAGATCTTGCAGTTGGTTTTATATAATGGTTAGTGTGGTTGTTGAGTATCATTTTCGAAATGAAAATGTTTTCATTTGCTTTCTGTTAGTGGACATTGGATGTTTCATTATGTTATATGGTTCCCATTAGTTTTGGTAGGTGGGGGATCTGGTTTATGTCCGCGATTCAGATTTTTTGAATCTGAATAAAGGTAGGATTCTGAAGGTCGTTATATGTTACTAGTCTAATCTACATTTAGTGGAGAGTTCTTCATTTAGTATTTGCATCAGGAAATATTTTTATACCCAAATAGAGTGGGGAACCAGCAAAGGAAACGAACCTAAATTTTTTAGTGAAACACTAGTACACTACAAAGTATATACTTCCAATTGTTCGTGGGCATTGATATACACGTAGCTAAATTGCAGATAGCATATTAGCTTTTATAGTGGTTTGATGACGGCCGGGATAGTCAGAATGGTGCCCTGAAGTGTCCTGGTCAACAATCTACACGTACAGTATTGATTGACATTGAATGAAATTCAATTTTGAAGTTAACCCACAAATTAGCAGCATCAATGCAACAATTTCATAAGAAACAGCAAAATCCAACAATTTTGGTTTTCAGACACGACACTTCTGGGAGCACACACCTCTTACAACTTGTTCAATTTTGATGTTCTGCTGCACCATCCATCCACGTTTGATTTGCAGCAATCCTAGCCTCCATTATGTAGCCCTACTCCTTATGGATCAGAGTCTCTGTTACCTGAGTTGGAGTCTCTGTTACCTAAGGCTAACTTTAGGGTTACGTGATATAATTGAAACGAGTTTCAATCGTAACATATCTCATGAAACTTTCCATATTTCAGGACAGTGTAACATTTTTATTGAAAAGGGTTAAATACGAAAATACCCATAACTTCATAACTTCACTTATTATATCAATTTGAAATATAAAAAAATAAAATTTTCAACAAATATCTAAACTTTCATTCTATCAAATATTTTGATATTTTTAGATTAATACCGTTAGTCAAGTTGTTTATGTGATATCAATATCTAATAGAATAAAAATATATAATTTTTAGATAATTTTTATTAAAAAAATATATTTATAATATGTGTGGTGAATAAATAATTTGTTAATATTTATTAAACATTACATGTATAAGTAGATATAATTAATAGAATTAGAATTGAGTTAATATGATATATAATTTAAAAGTTTATAATATAAATCATATATTTTATGAACGTAAATTATATATCTTATTTTTAAGTATTAATTTATACATTTTTTAAAATTTAAAAAGTAAAGGGTGGGGCAGCTAGATGCTTTTTCACAAATGCTAAGGTTGAAAAAAATATTCGCTCACATCCCCATTCATTGTTAGCACTTAGGTGAGTGATGAGGTAGCATGAGTTCATATTTACAAAATTGATGATCCACCATTAAAGGGAAAACTAGTGCGCCAATATCTAGTGGGAAAATAACATAAGTCGCAAACTTTTGAACTGCATGCTATATTGTTGTGATGAGTGATGACTCCCAGCTGCTCTCATGGAATTTCAAAGTCGTTGCCTCGTGTCCTGATTAGGCTAAGTTTCAAATTTCAAATGAAAAACCATCATGATTCTACGAGATTTAGACATCCCTGTTGTCTAGGGTAGCTATGTCATAAACTGGATTTATGATTCCAAAATGAAGCTAGCTTGCTAGTTCCTAGTTTTGTTCATCATTAGTGTATTTTCCAATTGGCATTATCTGTTGAACATGCTTTTGAAAATTACGAATTCCCAAAGGAGTTGGATTGTAGGATTAAGAATAGATTAAAATTTTCGTTAAAAAAACAACCCTAATAATCCTTTCATCTTTGTTTTCTATTCCAAGGCATTATTAAACCATAAAATTAATTTATTAGGTTCATACCTCGTATGCCAAACCATTTTTTAAAGCATTTTTTTTAAAATGATTTTGAACAGTTGCTCCAGTTGCACATTTGTGGGAGACCTGTAGAGCCAAGTTGAGTACAAACGGCTTCAACTACATAAATGGTTTGCTCAATTCTAAATAGATAATGTCCATTTCGAGCTTTGAAGGCTCATCTGTGCCATGTATTTGCACTAGCCAAAAAAACATGTTGCCCTTAATATGGAGTATGGACCCAATGCCTCCTGCTATTTCCCCTCTCTCTTAACCCTCTTCCAAAATCTTTTTGTGTTGAAATTTCCAACATTTCATCAATTACATGTCTTTTTAGGGTCATAAATTATCTTCTTTTTGGATGTCTGAAATATTTTAATAATTTTCTTAAAAGAAAATGAATTATATGAATAAATTTTTTAAAAAAAATTAAAACACTTTCTTTTTTTTCTATTTCGGTACTAATTTATTGCTAGAATAGAATATTATTTGTTTCATTTCCAATTTTTCTTTCTTTTAAAACTTCATGAACTAAACAAGACCTAATAGAAAATTATTCTTTTTTATTTTGGTCCAGCAAAGAAATTTTGTGTTTATTATTTTGGGCCTTGTAGCATTCAGCAAAGATACATAGATTTTTCAACAACTAGGCCTGAGATGGAGATGCAGTCATGGAATTATTGGACTAAAAACTCGTCTAATGAAGCAAGAAAGCCGACCTCAAAGGAAAATGAAAAGAAGAAAAAAAGATAAACCTGTAAAGCAGGAATTTGGGCCTTATGTAGTATAGTTTTCAACAGTGACGGCCCAAAGAAGAAGATGCTACCCTGTATTCAAGGCCATCTCGAGACGGGACAACTTTTTTTCTGCTTTATATTTATTGTCTTGACTCTTGACTCCTGACTGACCCATGCCATGCAGCAATCATGGTGTTGGCATGGATGGAATGGAACCGGTTGGTCTTGGTGGGCCTTTCTCCAGCTCATATATTTATGTACTTATCTAAGGTAATCAATTCAGAATTCTAGCACAGGATGATTCCATTGTTCTTGCGAGTTACAAACTGTCGGCATTAGCAATGGGCCCTCCTCAATTTTCTCTTTGTAAACACGAGGAACCAGGCTACGGAGTCAATTTTGGTGACTGTTTGTTTACCACAATTAAAGGAAAGAAGGAAAATTTCCTCAAAATTCTTGTGATTTGATAGCACATTTCTTTAGTTTTCATTGCAAAGTTGGAATCAAGGAGGGGAAAAAACTGGACAAGAAAATGAAATACAAAAGAGGATTACTTTGTTTTTGTGTAACTCAATCATTAATCCAAAAGTGAAAGCTGAAAAGAAGATTGAAAGACGTATCTCTGGACTCTTCCCTTTTTTAAAAAAAATCGATGTTGAAGAAAACTTTTGTTCGATTTGTTAGGGTATAGGTAGACACCAAGATGGAGCTTTCAAGCAGGTTTTTCAGCAATTACGAACTCGATTTTACCTGCAATAACTTTTTTAAAACTTCCATTTCCAGCAAGCAATTATGAAACAGGGTTCTTAAATAGAAATAAAGAGGAAGTTGATTTATTCACTGAAAAATTTAATACATAGCAATTCTGCATAAAATATGAGAACAAAGAAATATACATGATTAAATACGCAAAGACCCATCATGGTTTTCTTGATGAGGTCCATCTACAGCATGGAAATCACAAACCATGAGGAGTAAGAGTGCTGTAAGTTCTAGCTGATGGGACAGTAGCAGTTGATTCTGGATCGGATTTCTCAGTTGAATTGGAATAATTATAACCACCTTTTATGCAAGGAACCCACTTGAATGATTCCTTCCTCTCGCAATACAGCTTTCTTGAGAAAAATGCAGCACACTCAGCTTTTGATCTTTGAGACGGCAGGTCTAAAATGCAGTTGTTCCTGACATCAAGTTTCTTTTTCATTATCAAATTCCTGCAAGCAGGGCCAACCTGAGTGAAATAGTTGTTTGACAAAGAGAAGTTTTCGAGCTTAGAGAGCTTGCAGACTATTTCCGGTACTTCCCCATAGAACTCGTTGTAGGCCAAATTGAGTTGCTCGATCTTTTTCAAGCACCCAAACGAGTATGGTATTGGGCCTGTTAACTTGTTGAAGCCTACATCGAACACAGTGGCTTGGCTCAGATTCCCAATCTCATACGGCAAGCATCCTGTAAGTTGATTGTTGAGGAAAAGCACTTCCAGCAAATTAGGAGCTCTGCCAATGCTTGCTGGAATGCTGCCAGTGAATTTGTTGTTGGCAAAGGTGAGATACAGGGCTGGTGTGTCACCAAGATTATCAGGAAGCCTCTGTTCAAAGTTGTTGTTGTTGATGAAGAGCACATCAAGATCTAATTTGAACGCTTTTGATGGAACGATCCCCTTAATCGAGTTGAACCGTAAGTCCAGGAAGGTTAAATTCATGGCGCCAAGAACTTCCATGGGGAAATCACCAGACACGTTGTTGTTGCTAAGGTCAAGCTCATAAAAATATTTAATTTTGGATACTCCAAAAGGTACACTACCAGTGAAGTTGTTAGAGTTGGCATGGAATATGGCTAGGTCGTCTAACTCATTAATGAAACCCTCAAGGGGAAGGCAGCCATTTCGCCCAGCAAATTTAGCACCGTTGAAGTCTACTGAAGCAACTGCCTTTTCCCCCACATCAGGACGCTTGTCACAACTGAAGCCTTTGTAATTGCAAACGTCGGTGCCTTGCCATCTCTTTGTGTATTTTTGGCTATTAGCATCATCTAGGATTATTTTCTTGAACTTTTTGATTACCTTGAAAGCTTTATAAAGTCGCTGGTTTTCAAAGCAGCCATTTGGGGTTGGGAACTTACATGGCGGTGGCGGCGGTGGGGGTGGGGGCGGTGGGGGTGGGGGTGGGGGCGGAGGCGGAGGCGGCGGTGGCGGTGGGGGACATTCAGGTTCAGGCGGAGGTGGAGTACAATCCTCATTATCAGGAGCTGGGGCAGGACTCTCCCCACCCCCACCAATGATAATTTCTAATGTTTCCCTTTTTGTCCCGATCAATGAATGATCACAAGCCACCTCGTGATGAAAACATGAATAAAAAATTATACCAGTGAAGAGTAAAAATGAAGTAGAGAAACAAAGGGTACGCATTTCTCTTTTTTTTTTTTTTTAATCTTCACAGGATCCTTGAGAGAATGCCTAAACAGCAAAGGGCAGATTTTATAAGAAAAGGCGTAGACACAGAATTGAGGGAAGTCAAACTTCACGAGCATAGACTAAAAAAAAAAAAAACCCCACTCTTTCTTGGCATGTAAGGGGTTGTTGCCCTATCTTTGTCCGAGAAAGACATGTTCTGTTAATTACCACTTGTCAATCGATTCCTTGCATTGTATATGTTGGCTCCATAACCTTTTGGTAGGTCCTGAGTTATTGTATATCCTTTTGGATTCATCTCTGCTTTTCTAGTCTCAAATGCACGAGTACTAAAGAAAATTTAGCCGAACTTTTGAAAAAAATATATTAATAAAATATTAAAATTTTAATTTAATAATTAAAATTTAAATTTAGATAATTTCAAATAAAAAAAAAATCAATCCGAAGTCCATTCGAATTAGAAGACAACTAACAAAAGCCGTGCTTCCTGTTCTCAGGTCACACCATTGATTTTATTGCTGCTAAAAAAGTGTTCGAGGCACATGGTTTTGATAGGAATAAGAATATCATCAATTCCAGACAATATAGAAAACTCTTTTTACAATGAAAAAAGATTGATTTAATCACCCTACCATAATGTCTAAGTTGCATAGATGGGACAAAATAACCATTATCCTGCCAGTTCGACTTCACATGCAGAACAAGTGAAGAAACAACCCAAGATCAATAATTGAGCATCTTTTGAAATTTCAAACGCACAACTTTTTTCCATTGGGCCACCGCATAATGAAACAATATCTCCAATGTGCGGTGGCCGTAAGGTGGACCTGGGCCTGGGCCTAGGAGTTTTCCCATAACTGTCAGTCAATTTTGTTACCACATGCATTTCATTGTCCGTATCTCTGTCACAGGGCACTAAAAGTCACGAACCCACACGGAAAATATCGGAAAAGGATATCATCGTCGAGGCAATAAATTGTCTTAACCCATCAGCTCCAAAATTATGATGTGAAATAGACGGCTACGGAAGCAAGCATCCAACTATCCCGCATTTATGAACCGATAAGATTTTTAACCAACGAACTATTTCCAATTTCAGCGGTTATATGTTGAAATGTAATTGGACAGTATCTGAAAATTCCTTGTTTAATGTCAGTTTACCATTTTGTTTTTTCCCATAATAAATGCTCTCTTATGAATGTGATGCTTTGGAATAAATTAAAGGAGGATTTGCTGAACTCTGTTGCTTTTATCCTAAAGAAGATTTGCAATTTAAACATTACGGGTGAAAGAGGACGGTGGAGAAAAGTTTTAATAAATTTAAATTTAAATTTAACTGATTTATATAATAATTTTCAATAAATTTAAAGGTTAAATTTTAATTTTATATTATTTTTTAATTTATTATTATTGTTATAAGTAAATATTGTAAAAAATTTATAAAATTTGTGACATTTGAAGTAAATTTTGTATGCAATCAATTAAGATAAAAAATTTTATCACTTCAAGTCAATCAGTCAACTTATAACACCAAATACACATCAAATGGACTCGCCTTTTAAAATTTACAATCAAATGGGATAAAACAACAAAAGACTTTCAAGAAATACTTCTTACATTTATAGCAACATTGTAAAGCAATGGATTTTCAAGCATTGACCTAATAGAACTATTACATCATAGCAAACTACAATTTCAATACTTTTTCGTCTTAAGGCCATAGATTATTAGATTTACCTTTCTGCATTCTAACCACCATCCTCAATCGATGTTCATGCTTTATCAAACCAATCCTCTAAAAAAATAAAATGGAGAAAAAATATAAAACACATCCTTTAGCTCAAGAATAATATGGCATACTTCAGTATCATTTACTTTTAGCACTCACAGAGTAGGCTTCTTTGGAAAAAGACTCTATGTAATATGCTCCTCCCAAGTGACTTTTTTAACAAGTACTTTTTTATGGTGTAGCTGTTCTCGACTCTGTACCACTAGGTTGCCAAATTTACTTATCACATTTACACTTTGTTTTATTCATTATCAAAGAAATTTCATTTTTGCCATGCTTTGTTGATTAATTTCTTATCATGAAAAGAAGTTACATTAAAAATGAAAAAGGTATACCCTTTTTCAAAAGAAAATAGGAAGAAAAGTTCCATAGAATTCCTTGGATCATTTGTCAACCCCTTGATAAATTAATCAAGTATTATAGGATAGTGCTTCCATTTTGTGTCTTAACACCTAGACCATCTGCTGTAAGATGCTGAAGTGCATTTTAATGGCCTTCCTTGTTGTAACAGTGCTTGTTATAAGAATGTACCATAAAACTATAAGACAAAGGCAATTATAATTTTATCGTCTAGGTCATAGTAACTAAAGGAGGAAAGACTGATACTTTAAAAAGGGTTGATAATTTGAAAAGATAAGGTCCTTTTAGGACTTGTTCAAAATAAGCGACCCAAATTTAAATGTCAAAATCATTTTTCTACTTTACAAGACTAACAATACGACAAAGTAGATATGAAAAACCTTAAAGGTCATTGAGCAAGGCATGACCTAGATGAATCTTTCCCTTATCAACTCTGCTGCTTTATTATAAACAGTCCAAAAATCATTCGTTGTAGAAACAGAAAAAAGCATGCATTATGCCCAAAAGTTTTCCCCTAAAGCAACATACCTCTTGTATTTTACAACATTTCCGCAAATGTCTCTAAACCTGACATTGATTTAAAAAAAAAAAACGACTCAAATCACGTTTATAATATAAATTTCAAATATTCAATATTTTATAAATATATTACATTATTATAGTTTAACATTAATAACAAAAATGTATATATTTTTTTAATTAAAAGTAAAATTGTTTTTCCCTTTTAATCATTTATAAAAATTTCGTAAAATATAAAAAATCAAAACCTAATGACAATGATATATATAAGCGGCTTACGTATCACGTATCAAGAATCCTTTCATTTTTTTTCTCTATCCTTATAAAACATGAGAAACCTTTTAATTTTTGCTAATAACAAATGTAATATTTAACTTAAAACTAAAAATTCAAATTCACAAATAATCTCAAATTATATAAATCAAAACTAAATAGCAAACATATATGTTATAAGAGACTACTATCGCATATCAAGAGCTCTCTCATCATTTTTTTTTTAATTCTATTTTTTGGTCGAAATCCTATTTTTCGTTCACCCATGAGGTTCCCTTCTTCTTCACCAATTCTTTCTTCTTTTTTTTTCATTCATTTATTGCTAATTGTTATATAACCCTTTTTAAATTTTTTATCCTTGTTATTTATGGGATCTATATCCTTTTATTTTTTTATTTTTAAAAACTGAAATTCACACATGTTAACTTTAAAATACCAAATGACAACTTAAATTAGTTAACACATATCAATTTATGATTTTTCATGTACCATCATAAAAATCACTTGAATCAACTGTACATCCACGCTCCATTTCAAAATAAAAGACACAAAAAAAAAACTTTTAGAGACAAAAAAGAACATGAAAAACTAAACAACACAAAGAAAATCCAACCTAACAACAAAAGAATGTCAGATGTCAGGTTCAGGATCCTTCAGGGATTCTTTTAATCTAGCGTGTATGGATATAAGATAATATATGATGGGTTAGTGGTTGGATATTATTGAGCAACTAGATTGGTGATGAGTGACTACCGACACCCATTTTTTAACACGTGAAGGTTAGCTTACAAGTTACAACGTTCACATGCTTACAACTCGGAAATCCAATTTTCATCACAACATGGACCTTATCTCAAATCTACTAGAGGCCTATTGGGCCTACGGTCTACAAAATTGCTTGTTCCCTCCCTGGTTTATCACTTGGGTACTTTGCTCCCAAGGAAGACTGGGTTGCTGGCTCTATACAACAGAAGTTTACAACTTGAGAAAACAAAAGAACAAGGATTGCACTTTGCAGGCTACGGAACAACAAATTTTTATTATCATTCATCATTGATATGCATCGGTATGGATAAAAATATTAGCTTCTGACTCTGACACAAAGGTATCATTTACCATATGCTGTCTCTCCATCCTTATCCTTCTTTGACTTCTTTAAGATCATCACTTTCATCATTCCAACAACTAGTCTAAAATGTCCTTAAAAAAGCCCAAGGCAAATGCCATTACACGTTAACTTTAATAAAGTCGATTAAAGGTTGGTTTCAACTTGTAGGAATCTCTGTAGGAATCTCTTGATTGAGCAACAAAATTTCTTTGCAATGAGCTTTTTCAAAGGTTGGATGAGCATCGTTAATATTTAATAGGCCATTTGATATCATTGTAGAATATAAGGTGATTCCAAATAAGCCAAAATCCAGGACCATGAGAAATTATAAATAGACCAGGCACCCAAAGAAAGCTAAAACTAGTCTTACCTATACTATGGGTCTTGGCCTATAAGTAAGAAGCAACTACAAGTCTGACAATCTGGCCAACAAATTAATAGAATATATTTCATTTTTTCTCATTATACAAGTGTCTATAAATAAGAAATCTAGGTTATGAAGTTTCTAATTACTCAGCTTTTATCCTTCTAGCATTCAAGTTTTTAAGCTTCAAATTGGCCTCCTTATCTTTCCAAGAAGTCCAAATGGACTCAAAACCGCATCCCCTTCATATCTTCTTCTTTCCAAAGCTGGCTCATGGAGAATTGATCCCAATCATAGACATGGCTAGACTATTTGCAAGGCAAGCCGGTGTGAAAGCCACCATTGTCACCACTCAACTTAATGCTTCTTTCTTCTCTCAAACAATTGAAAGTGAAAGGAAGTTGGGCGTTGACATTGATATTCACATGATAAAATTCCCTTTCATGGAGGCTGGCCTGCCAGAGGGATGTGAGAACTTTAGTTCCACCACTTCACAAGAAATGGGTCTTAAATTCATCAAGGCTGTTGTTAGCTTGCTTCAACAACCCCTGGAACAAATACTTGAAGACTGCCGCCCCAATTGTCTGGTGGCTGATGCAGTTTTTCCATGGGCTACAGAAGTTGCAAGGAAGCTAGGGATCCCAAGGCTAGTTTTTCATGGAACAAGCTACTTTACCCTCAGTGTCTTTGACAGTTTACTCCGCTATGAGCCTCAGAAAAATGTAACATCAGATTATGAACCCTTTGAAGTGCCTGGCATTCCAGACAAGATAGAGATGACAAGACTGCAACAACCAGATGAACTCAGGGAAAGAGTCGATGATGAAATAAAAAAGTTGATGTATCAAGCTTTAGAATCTGAGATCACAAGCTACGGAGTTATCATGAATAGTTTCCAAGAGCTGGAACCTGCTTATGTAGAACACTACAGAAAGGTTATGGGAAGGAAGACGTGGTGCATAGGCCCACTATCTCTTTGCAACAGGAACACAGAGGATAAATCACAAAGAGGAAATACAGCCTCTATCGATCCAGTTGAGTGCTTTAGTTGGCTAGACTCAAAGAAACACAACTCGGTTCTCTATATATGTTTCGGAAGCTTGTCATGCTTTTCAGCTGCTCAGCTTTATGAGATTGCTAAGGGTCTAGAAGCTTCTGGACAAGATTTCATTTGGGTTGTAGAGAAGAAGATGAATAAGGAAGACAAAGAAAAGTGGTTGCCAGAAGGATTTGAAGAAAGGATGGAAGGGAAGGGTCTGATTATAAGGGGATGGGCACCTCAAGTGCTGATTCTTGATCATGAAGCTGTTGGAGGGTTTATGACTCACTGTGGATGGAACTCAACCATGGAGAGTATCACTGCTGGAGTGCCAATGGTCACATGGCCACTCAGCAATGAACAGTTCTATAATGAAAAGCTTGTTACATTGATACTAAAGGTAGGGATTGGGGTAGGAGCCCAAGAATGGTCTGATTGGATGGTAGAGAAGAAATTGTTAGTGACAAAAGAAAATATAGCGAAGGCAGTGACTCAACTGATGGTTGGTGAAGAAGCTAATGACATAAGAAACAGAGCTAGTGCATTGAAAGAGATGGCAAAGAGGGCTGTTGAAGAAGCTGGATCATCTCACTCCGATTTGAAGGATTTGTTAGATGGATTGAGATTGAACAGCTCTCCAAGAGAACTATGAAGAATCTGCTAAATGAGGATTAAAGATATGAATAAGCTCAAGCATAAATAATCTCCAGAACCTTGTCTCTTCTCTTTCCTTTTAGTAATTTCCTGGTTTTGTTTTTTCCTTGCTGAGCAAAGTTAAGTGATTTTCAGTGGTTTATCATTCCCAGAGATTGGCTAGAAAGCTCTACCCTTTTAGTTTCATTGGTAAATGAAAAAAGAATGATTTAACTGCTGGTTTCAAGAGCTGCCATACTGTTTAATTTGGAAAATGAGTCAAAAATCAAAATAAAGCAGTTCCTGCCAGTTCGATTCCACGAAACAAGTCAGGCTCAGATAGAAATCCCTATAGTCGTTAAACAAATGAACGATTTCTCAAAAAAAGTACATATTTAGATTTAATCCAAAATTTATTTTCAATATTATGAAAAATTTATAATGATTGAGCATAATTTATGTCTATTGTTATGACAGATGTGAAACAAAATACATTCAAAATCTCTTCAATCTTCTCAATCCCTTAACACACTGGATAAAAAATTTCATAACTTAAACAATACTATGAAAAGATAAAATTGTATACATATTTTAATATAGAATAAGCCAAAACAAATAACCGATATAAAAGGACAAAACTCCATTCGAAGCTAATGACTAGCAGACAGAAAACATTGTAACAATCAACATAACAGAAGATAAGACATCACTGTAGCAGTCACTGTAGTAGAAAAAATAGAGATCTACTACGAAAAACACTGTAGCGATACTATAAATAAAAATTTACTGTACATTATAGCGGGCAATTGTATAGAATTACTGTTCATAGGTTAAAATTTTTCTATTTAAAGCCTCATTGTATCTAAGTTCGATGAGACAAATTCTTCAGACCCTCTCTCTCATACACTCTTTCTCTCTCTATCTCTCTTTGTCCTCCAAACTTATACATATATATAAGTATAGTTTTTGTAATCTTTTATATATAGATCTTTTTCGCACTCCCTCGTAAATGGTTCAAGTATAGGATTGTAAAAAATTTTATCTCTAGATTAGAGAATTTTATTCCTTCAAGCAGTTGTTCTGTTGAAAAAACTATTTGAGAATAATTCATAGGTGTCCAGTCGTTTGGATCTTGAGCAAATTATGAGTATTCTTGTTGAATCCTCAAAACGGGTCGATAAAGAGGTTGTTGGTAGAGATATAATCCTTGGTTAGGATTATTGTAAAAGTTAAATCTTTGGTTAGGATTTGTAAAGATAAGGGGTCGTGGATAAGAATGAGTAAAAGAAAAAGAAGAAGAGGATTTTTTACATGTTTTCTTCTTTATAGTTCTCCATCCACTTGTATCATGGAGTGAGTGTTTTCCTCGATCCATGTGATCGACTCAGAAAGTCTGCAAGGAGGTTTTTGTCTCCGTTGATGAATTTTACCTGAAAATGATAAGAACAAAAAAAATTGTACCACTTAATTCACCTGGGATTATCAAAAAGCTTTCTATTTTGAAAAAAGTTTTTGACTGCTTAGTTATCTGTTCGGATAACAAAGATCTGAAAATGATAAGAACAAAGAAAATTATACTACTTAATTCGTCTGAGATTATCAGAAAGCTTTCTATTTTGAAGAAAGTTTTTGACTGCTTAGTTATCTGTTCGGATAACAAAGATCTCCGAAGCTAAATAGATGTGAAATCACTATACACTATTTTTTATGACTAATAATTTTTTTTCAAATATAATATAATTTATTTCGTTCGTAGTTCAAGTCTAAGATTGTAAAAATCTTTTATCTCTGGATTAGAGAATTTTATTCCTTCAAACAATTATTTACTAAAAAACTATTTGAGAATAACTCATAAGTGTCCAGTCATTTGGATCTTGAGTAAGAATTTCATCATTTATTATATCATCATGTGCTTCTTTATCATAGACACTAATTATGTCATAATTAAGCATATAATGATATCTATATTTAATAAAAAAAATTTTATGTTCTTCATAAAGAGTCTCTATAACCTAAAGATAATTATTCTGTTGTTTCGAATCTTTAATTTTTTTATTTTATCTTTAAAATTTTTAATAATATACTTATAAGAGTCAAAATTAAATTATTATTTTTCTTTTACTAAGAAAGATGATAATTTATCATCGTTCATCGTAATATTACCATTTTTGTTGCCATGTGCGTGTTATCTTCGGTATCTCCGCAGAGACACTAAAAACCAAAGACCCAAGGGAAATTTCAGAAAAAAAGATGTCACTGATGACGAATGCAAATTAATCGTGTGGCCCCCTCCGTTGCAATGTATAGAATTATTGCATCGATATTCGAGGATCAGGGCTGACTAAAGAGACCGATACTTCATTTTCCCTTATGTAACTTTAATTAGATCGCTTTCCAAACTGACTTTAAATCCAAAACAGATAAAGTTAGGTTGCAATCTTGTCTTTCTGGACTTCATGCTAAACAAATGAGTATCATTGTATATGGACTTGAAGTTCCATTTTCCTAATATTTTCTCGATCAATTATGCCAGCAATTTCTTCCACATATACAGACAAGTAAGTCAGTAGCATTATGAGACTATGGTCCACACACATGGTTTGAATAAAAACTTAATATTAACTTTCCATCATTTGCATTTTTGTATATAATCAGAAGCTCAACTTCTAAATTGTTTGCCAACGCATTTACCTCTGGTTCTTTTTTGGTGGAACATTTACCTGTGTTTCTTCTGCTGTTATTCTTCTTACAGATCTTTCCTTTAACCTCACACCCACTCACAAGGCTACATGGCCTCAAAATCACGTCAGCTTCATATCATGTTCTTCCCCCAATTTGCCCAAGGACACTTGATCCCAACAGTGGACATGGCTAGACTATTTGCTAGGCATGGAGTAAAGGTGACAATTGCTACTACTCCACTTAATGCTCATCTCTTTGCCAACACAATTCAAAGAGATAGGGAATTAGGCCTTGAAATCAGTACTTGCATAATAAAATTTCCTTCGGCTGAGGCTGGCCTACCTGAAGGATGCGAGAATCTGAGTTCCATCACTTCCGAAGAAATGCTAGACAAGTTCCGCAAGGCTTTCAACCTTTTCCAACCACCAATTGAACAGCTCATTGAAGAACATCGCCCCGATTGCCTTGTGGCTGACATGACGTTTATATGGGCTACGGATGCTGCTAGCAAGTTCGGGATTCCAAGGCTGGTTTTTAATGGGACTAATTGCTTCGCTCTGTCTATCATTCATAGCTTAATGCGCCATGAACCCTTCAGAAACATAGCCACTGATTTTGAATCATTTGATGTCCCTGGCCTTCCGGACCAGATAAAGATGACAAGAATGCAGCTTCCAAATCATATGAGAGAAGAAGATAATGAGCGAAAGAAGCTGTTGAAAGAAGCTTTGAAATCAGAGCTGACAAGCTATGGAGTCATCTTCAATAGTTTCTACGAGCTGGAACCAGCATATAAAGAACACTACTCCAAAATTTTGGGACGGAAGGTATGGCACATCGGTCCTGTGTCACTCTGCAATAAGAACAACGATGATAAAGCTGAAAGAGGAGATGTAGCCTCGATTGATAGACATGAGTGTTTAAGATGGTTAGACTCAAAGAAACCTAACTCAGTTCTCTATATATGTTTCGGAAGTATGTTCAGGTCTTCAGCTGCTCAACTAAATGAGATAGCGAAGGGTCTTGAAGCTTCTGGACAGAATTTCATTTGGGTTGTAAGAAAGGTGAATAGTGAAGACAAAGAAGAATGGTTGGCAGAAGGATTTGAAGAGAGGATGGAAGGGAAGGGATTGATAATTAGGGGATGGGCACCCCAGGTTCTAATTCTTGATCATGAAGCTACAGGAGGGTTCATGACTCATTGTGGCTGGAACTCTACAATAGAGAGTATCACTGCTGGGGTGCCAATGGTCACTTGGCCTCTCCATGCAGAGCAATTTGCTAATGAAAAGTTGATTATAGATATCCTAAAAGCAGGAGTTAGTACAGGAGCCAAAGAATGGTCTAGATGGGCAGATGATACAAAGTTTAAAGTTACCAAGGATGACATACAAAGGGCAGTGACTAGGCTAATGGTTGGTGAAGAAGCTGAGCAAATCAGAAACCGAGCTAGGGAATTGAAAGAAATGGCGAGGAGGGCTGTGGAAGAAGGTGGGTCGTCTTACTCTGATTTGAATGCTTTATTAGATGAATTGAGATTGAACTGCCCCTGAAAATAGGCTATCAGATCAAATCTTTTTTTTCTTCTGCTACGCTACTTCATAAAAGAAATTAAACCTTGATATAATTTCATGTGTGTCAATTTATCATTTGACTAAAAAGGCTAAATGACCTCAAAAACAAATCAGCTTAATGTCCTTTTCTTCCGTTTCCTGGCCCATGGGCACATGATCCCAACAGTTATTTGCCAGGAATTGGGTGTTAAAATCAGTACTCACATAATAAAATTCCCTACGGCGGAGAGGCAGCCTTGCCAGGGAGATTTCACTTTGATATCAGAGTTCCATCACTTCATCAGAAATGATTGCCACATTCAACAAGGTCATTAGGCTTTTAGAAGCAACTGCTTTAGTAGCCCCTTGAGAATGCTGCCCCAAATGCTTGGTGGCAGGTTCGACGTTTCAGTGGGCTACAGATTTGTTGAGAAGCTTAGAATTCGAAGGTTGTTTTTTTGTGAAACAAGCTTTGCTGTTTCTTTCTTGGACAGCTTAGTACGACATGACCCTCACAATAATGTAAAATCTGATTCCTGGACTCCCCAGACCAGATGAAGAAGACAAGATTACAACAATTAAGCTATCTGATAGAGAAGGAAATAAGCATGGAGTGTCGAAAGTAAATGGATCGGACTTTACAATTGAAGCTAACGAGCTAGAGTCCTCGTATGGCTAATTGGCCCTGTTTCACTCAGGAACAAGAGCGCTCAAGATAAAACAGCTAGAGGCAATGCAACTACCACTGATAAACATGATAGCTAAAAATGGCTAGACTCAAATAAACCCAACTCGGTTTTTTTAATCTATATTTTGGTAGTTTGTAATGTGTTTCATCTGAAGCAGATTACCAAAAACCTTGAAGCTTCTGGATAGAATTTCATTTAGGTTGCCAGAAACCTTTTAAAGTCTTTTTTCATGTTCCTCTTGTGTTTTCCTTTGCAATGTAGATGGCCTAGGCAAGCATAAAACCTGGATCAACTAATAATGTCACCCAAGACATGTTATTATTCTTAACAGTAGTTGCAACAGATTATCCTTTCATTATATCGGAGACATGGAGACTTAAAATGCCAAACGTTGGAGACCTAAAATGCCAAACCAAATAAAAAATAATAATAAAGGACAAATAGATAGCACACCTTAAAACATCGTTGAAGTCTTTTCCTAGACAAAGTTCCAAAGCTGTTCGTTATGATGAACAATATCTTCAGTTCCTCTACAAGCACCATCTCCATGAAATTCTACCAATTAATTTCATAAGATTAGATCCTAAGCAAACAGGAAACTAAAGTACAAATACACAAAAATAAAATATCCAATTAATTGCCAGACAAACACTTTGATTCTTCCAGGAGATTAATTCATTTCAATTTTGTGCCTTCTGGTGTACTGTCCCAGGGGTAATAAAGTCTGCTAACCAGAAGACCGATACTTCAAATATTCAAGCTGAAAAGATTCATCAAAAGAGATGAATATTCTAATTAATAGTCTAGGCATGAATTAGACTTAAATAAAAACAATCAAGTTTCATTTAACAATAAGATTTCCGTGTCAACCAAGGCAAATGAAATAGTCACATATAAGATAAATAAAAAATATTAAATATGTGATGGAAAATGACTCGAAACAAGACTTTGAAGATAGATTGGATAAACATGAAAAAATTGTACGCAGAGAGATTAATGACTTTTCTTTTCATGTGTCCATAAATCTAAATATAGTCAAATAGCACTAAGTACATTGGTTGGTGCATCTACAATTCAACAGCCGTGATCTGAAACTACTGAACTAATCCTAGTTAGCAAAGTAAAAGATTGAAAATTCAAGAGTAACACAATCAAGAAGGCAGTAGTTCAAAAGAAAAAGACGAAATTAAAATTCCAAATATTCAAGGACTCATTTTAAAGCACCTACCAAGACATTTCTTGCTCATTAAGGCTATGAATGCAGCTGTCCAACTACCAAAAGGCTAAGACTAATAAGAGCACTCGACTTAGGGAGAAATTACTAAGAAGCAACTTCACTTTTAAATCATAGAATTGTCTATAAATAAGAACTCTAGGTTATGCAGTTCTCAATTAATCAGCTTTTCATTTTGCCTTTTATCATATCCTACTAGCGTTCCACTTCTTAACCTTCAAATTGGCCTCCTTATCTTTCCTACAAAGGCCAAATGGACTCAAAACCACATCCACTTCATATCTTGTTCTGTCCACACCTGGCTCATGGACATTTGATCCCAACCACAGACATGGCTAGACTGTTTGCAAGGCAAGGTGTGAAAGCCACGATTGTCACCACTCAACTTAACGCCCCTTTCTTTTCTCAGATAATTGAAAGAGAAAGAAAGTTGGGCATTGAAATTGATATTCACATAATAAAATTCCCTTCCGCGGAGGCTGGCCTGCCAGAGGGAATTGAGAACATAAGTTCCATCACTTCACGAGAAATGGGTCTTAAATTCTTCAAGGCTGTTAGCTTGCTTCAACAACCCCTTGAACAAATACTTGAAGAATGCCACCCCAATTGCCTGGTGGCAGATGCAATGTTTCCATGGGCTACAGAAGTTGCAAGGAAGCTAGGGATCCCAAGGCTAGTTTTTAACGGAACAAGCTATTTTGCACTAAGTGTGATTGATAGCTTACTGCGCTATGAGCCTTGGAAAAATATAACATCTGATTACCAACCCTTTGAAGTGCCTGGCATTCCAGGCAAGATAAAGATGACAAAACTGCAACAACCAGTTGAACTTAGAGAATCAATAGTTGATGATAAAATGAAAGTTTTGATGCATCAAGTTTTAGAATCTGAGATTACAAGCTACGGAGTTCTCATGAACAGTTTCCAAGAGCTGGAACCAGCTTATGTAGAATACTACAGAAATATTGTAGGAAGGAAGACATGGCACATAGGCCCGTTATCTCTCTGCAATAGAAACACAGAGGATATATCACAAAGGGGAAATGCAGCCTCTATCGACGCAGTTGAGTGCTTAAGATGGCTAGACTCAAAGAAACACAACTCGGTCTTCTATATATGTTTTGGAAGCGTATCCTGGTTTTCAGCTGCTCAGCTCAACGAGATTGCCAAGGGTCTAGAAGCTTCTGGACAGGATTTCATTTGGGTTGTAAGGAAGGTGAACAATGAAGATGAAGAAGAGTGGTTGCCAGAAGGATTTGAAGAAAGATTGAAAGGGAAGGGTTTGATCATAAGGGGATGGGCACCTCAAGTGCTGATTCTTGATCATGAAGCTGTAGGAGGGTTTATGACACATTGTGGATGGAACTCAACCCTGGAAAGTATCACTGCTGGAGTGCCAATGGTCACATGGCCACTCAGTAATGAACAATTCTATAATGAAAAACTCGTCACAGAGATACTAAGAGTAGGGATTGGAGTTGGAGCCCAAGAGTGGTCTAGATGGATGGAAAAAAGGAAATTCTTAGTGACGAAAGAAAATATAATAAAGGCAGTCACTCAGTTGATGGTTGGTGAAGAAGCTAATGACATAAGAAGCAGAGCTAGTGCATTGAAATTGATGGCAAAGAGGGCTGTTGAAGAAGGTGGATCATCTCACTCTGACTTAAAGGCTTTGTTAGATGGATTGAGATTGAACAGCCCTGGGGGAGAGCAATAAGGAATGTACTAAAGAAGGACTAAAGTTCAACCATAAACCTCTCGATCTTGTATAAAATAAATATTGATAAAAGAATACCATAAACCTTGTGTCTTCTCTTTCTTTGTAGTTTTTATAGCTTTATTTTCCTTCCTGAGCAAAGTTAAGAAACTTTCAATGATTTATGGTTCGACGAGAATGGCTGTAAAACTCTGCCCTTTAGTTTCATTTGTGAATGACTTAAAATAATGCAGGTAAAAAAGAAAAAAAAAAACAATTGAATCACCAAAAAACCAAAACAGAGGGAATACATATTACCAGGACACCTATCCCCACAAAGAAACCCCGTTTAGGCTTCACAGAAATAACATCATATAGGGACACCAATAAAAAGGTTGTCAAATGCAAACCAAACAAAACTTTATATATTTTTCAAGTTCATACCATTTTAGCCACGCATCACAAAAGTGCAAGGGTTCTATGAGGAATAATCCTTTCAGAGTTCGGTATTCAGTTATTGATGGAACATTACCTGAAATGTCAAATATAATCCCACACCCTTGAAAACCAGAACACCTAGCATGCATGCAGAAGACATTTTTTAAAATGCCAAGAGTGTTTTAGCTCAAGAAACATAATCATACATGTTAACATCAAAGGGAGAAAATGATTGTACAAAGGAGTAACCTTTCTTGCAAGCAAAACATGCTTAACTCAGTAATATGAAAAGTTGATACAGCTCAGAGACTTCTGTAGTTCAAAAAGTACAATTAAGAAAAGGATAAATAAATAAAAGTGCAACGGCACTATCAAACTTACTAAGGAACGAATGCATATAGATTAAAAAAAAAGTGAATTTGAAAAGTCAAAGAAGCACTAATTATTCTTTCAAAAAAAGAATTCGGGGGAAAAGGGCTTTTAGTAAACGAGAAAAAAACATGATTATTGTTGCGCCTGAAGCAATAATCACAATAATACAGAAGCAATAGACAACAATCAATAATCAAATACGCAGAAAAAATAAAGCACACCAAGATTTACGTGAAAAATCCTCCAGTGTAGAGGAAAAAAATCACGGGTCACCAGAAAAATCTTCATTATCAAATAATAGTTATACAAAGTTCTTCTCTAGCTAAAACTAGAGCTAATCAACAACTAGAGAAACAATTGGAGAAATCTCACCAAATAAGTGACTCAACAAATACACCCTGGATTTGTTCCTAGAGAGCTTCAAACCCGATCTTCACCGTTCAGAATGTATAACTCTGAATCATAAACCTCTTGACAAGGTTCCAACTCAATCGGACCACGGATCGACTTCCGTTCAACCAACTCTCCCTTCTCCTTTTTCTCTCTCTGCTTTTCCTGACTTTTCTTCTTTCTCTGCTTGGTTTTCGACATACACATAAAACAACCCCACCTCTTTTTTATTAAGTAGCTAGGGCTCTGTGTAAAATAAAAGATCAAGGCTCATGGCCTTTACTTGGTCCAAAACCACTTACATGGGACTGGACCCCATTTTCCTAACAATCTCCCCCTCTAGCCCCATTAGGAGGAGATTCATCACCATAGCAGTTTCATTTGGAGCTTACCTTGGCCAGGGAACTCATTCCGGCCAAGTTACTGTAAAGCTCAAGCTTTTCCCTGAAAAGTTTAACAAGATCATAAGTACCATTCTTTCGCAATGACTCCATCTCTTCTTTCATTGCTTTTAACCAGTACTCTCTATCCGGAGTAGCCTGCACATCTTGAAAGCTTTCTGGCTCCCCTTCACTGGTAACTAAAATAAAATCTGAACTTGGATACCTGGTAGATGGCCTGCGCTCTCTAGTAGATCTCATGGGTTGAGACTCTACATCACTTGATGTCGAAGGTAGCTCTCCTTGCTCAACACTCTTAGGTAGAGAGGATTGCTTCCCATGCTCAAAACTAATAGCATCTGACTCATCACCAACTGTGGCTGGCTCATTCATATCCTCAAGTTCTGTTTCTTGCTCATTTTCACCATTTGTGGCTTTTCCCTGTGAAATCCCTGTCGGTGTTGAAATATCACACTCAACAGTAACTCGTGTAGTCTTTTCATTTTTCTCAAGGTCTGCTATAGTTTTTTTTTCATGAAAGACCACATCCCTGCTTCTGACTGTCTTTCTCTTTACTGGATCCCATACCCTGTAGCCAAATTCCTCATCACCATATCCTACAAACACACACTGTGTAGCTTTACTGTCAAGCTTTGATCTCTGCTTTTTCGGCACATGCATGAATGCTTTACACCCAAAAACTTTCAAGTGAGAGTATGAAGTATCTTTTCTTGTCCACACTTTTTCTGGAATGTCAAAGCCCAAAAAAACTGATGGTGACCTGTTAAGTAAATAACAAGCTGTGTTGACTGCTTCACCCCAGAATGACTTTGATAATTTTGCCATCCTCAACATACATCTGACGTTTTCCACAATGGTGCGATTCATTCTTTCAGCTATATCATTATGCTACGGTGTTCCAGGTTCTGTCCTCTCATGCCTGATCCCATGCTTTGAGCAATACTCTTCAAAGCTTTTAGATGTGTATTCCCCACCATTATTAGTTCGAATACACTTCAAGGGTAACCTTGTCATCCTTTCAACCATGGCATGAAATTTTTAAAAATACTGTAGTACCTGACTTTTGTATTTCAACATATACACCCAAGTCTTACGTGAAGCATCATCAATAAAAGTAACAAAATATCTGCTACCACCTAATGACTCAACCTCAATGGGACCACATACGTCAGAATAAATTAATTCCAATCTATTTTCTTTTCTCTGAGAACTTTTACGAAAAGAAACTCTATGATGCTTACCAAACAAACAATAATCACATGAATCGATAGACATACCTTTGGTCAAGGGAATGAGAGAGTGCCTTGCCAAAACTTGTAACCCTTTTTCACTCATGTGTGCCAGCCTCCTGTGCCACAAGTTTGTTGAAGCATCATTTTCAACGGTATTTACCTGGTTACCGTTCAATTGCATCCATGTCTTATGCATTGTGCAACATAGTTTTCCCCTTGTAACTACCATAGATCCTTTGAGAAGCTTCCACTGTCCATTCTTTTATCGGCTTTCATATCCCTCTTTATCAAAGACATTAATAGCAAGCAAGTTCATTCTCATATCTGGAATGTGTCTGACATCCCTCAAAGTCAACATACAGCCTGTACTAATTTGTACAATAATATCATCAATCCTAACAATCTGTAACACACTCTTGTTTCCCATCTTGGTACAACCAAAGTCTCCTGCTTTGTAAGTTGTAAACAACTCTCTCTTAGGAACACAATGATATGCCACTCCTGTGTCAACTATCCACTCAATGTCGGGATCACTAACATGATTACAATCACCATGTGTACAAATCAAAGTAACTGAATCACTATCTGAATTCACTGTTGCAACATTACCATCATCTGAACTCTTGTCTTTCTCATCTTTTCGCTCTTGCTTTAAGATTTTACAGTTTCATTTTATATGACCAACCTTACCACAATGAAAACACTTCACTTTACCTCTAGACTTAGATCTATGTTTAGACTTACCACGACCTTTTGAGTCTTGACCTCTGTCGATGTTTCTACCTCTGTTCTCTGTGACCAGAGCTTGATTCTCAGGGTCTACATCTTTTCACCTTGCTTTTTCATTAAGCATACTGTCATTTACCATCTCCAATGTCACTTTATAATCAGGAGTTGAATTAAGAACAGTCACAACTAGAGTATTCAAATTGTCTGGCAATGAACCCAAAAGAAATAATGCCTTCATTTCATCATCCATCTTAAGCTCCATAGTAGTCATCCGATTAAATATATCTTAAAAATCACTCAAGTGTTCTGTAACAGATCGTCCATCCCTGTACTGTAAAGTTGTAAGCTTTTTAACAAGCATAACTTTATTCATACCTGTTTTTCTCTCATACAATGCTGCCAATTTTTTTCAAACAATGTGAGCATCTGATTCCTACGTTACATGATGGAACACGCTGATATCAACTCATTTTTTTATTGTAACCAGCATCTTTCTACCTAGCTTCTTTCAGCTTTCATCTTTCATATCTGTTGGTTTAACCGAATCACCTAATACTGGCTCATACAAATCTTTGCAGTATAGATGATCCTCCATCATAGGCTTCCAAATTGAATAATTCGATGCTGTCAATTTTATCATGGAACCTGTATCACCCTTCATGATTTTAAACAGAATTTACTTCTATCCTGGGTTGCTTCTGTATCGATGTCTCAAAATAACCTTCACTCTGATACCACTTGTTGCGCCTGAAACAATAATCACAACAATACAGAAGTAATAGACAGCAATCAATAATCAAATACGTAGAAAAAATAAAGCACACCAAGATTTACGTGAAAAATCCTCCAGTGTAGAGGGAAAAAATCACGGGCCACCAGAAAAATCTTCACTATAAAATAATAGTTATACAAAGTTCTTCTCTAGCTAAAACTAGAGCTAATCAACAACTAGAGAAACAATTGGAGAAATCTCACCAAATAAGTGACTCAATAAATACACCCTGGATTTGTTCCTAGAGAGCTTCAAACCCGATCTTCATCGTTCAGAATGTATAACTCTGAATCATAAACCTCCTGACAATGTTCCAACTCAATCGGACCACGGATTGACTTTCGTTCAACCAACTCTCCCTTCTCCTTTTTCTCTCTCTACTTTTCCTGACTTTTCTTCTTTCTCTGCTTGGTTTTCGACATACACATAAAATAATCCCACCTCTTTTTTATTAAGTAGCTAGGACTCTGTGTAAAATAAAAGATCAAGGCTCATGGCCTTTACTTGGTCCAAAACCACTTACATAGAACTGGACCCCATTTTCCTAACAATTATAAACTTATCAAAAAGTTAATGCCCACTAGAATTCTGAAAAACCAGAAAAAAAATGGCATTATAAAGAAAAACCCAGAAAATCTTAACTGTCGAAAAGCTATTTGTGATTGATACAGTAATTCGGATAAAAAGCAATTTTCGAAAAGCAAATTCCAGAGAACAAAAAGGTGATTAATAAAAGCAATTTGTGCCACCACCACAATTTATATATATGATCCTGTCAAATTTGCGTTAATCCATCGACCAAAAGTCCCCTCAACGAACTTTCAAACCATGTTTCTTGCCTGGCTCTAGAGACTTTAAAGAATATTATGGAATCAATTCCTTAAAACTAAAGTGGTGTAAACTGATAGGAACGTGGGGTCCAGCCCCATTCCTTTGGATCAATCAGAAGTCATCGGTCTTTTTGTTTTGCCTTTTAATCATAAAAGGGCGCCCTATATATTATATAAATGTGAGCAGTTTTTGGCGTGAATGTGGCGCGAAAGAGAGAAAAAGAAAAGTTAAAAAAGTAGAGAGAAAAAAGAAAAAAAATAGTTAATTGATTAGAAGTTGATTCATAATTTGATTATATTGATATTTTATCAATTGATTTATAATTTAGAGTTTTATATTTTAAATAATAGAGATTGAGTTTAAAATTTTTTAAAAATAAATTTAAAGTGTATTTATTGAATCATTTATTTGATAAATTTTTTTAATTATCTATCTAGTTATTGATTAGCTATAAGTTT